ATTTTTTTAAAAAAATTATTTAATTTTTCACAGATAAAAAAAGGGTTATTTTGTCTAGTTTTTCATTTAGCGAGGTAGATTTCCGAAACTGGACAACGGATTTTGTTGTTTGGGGTCTTGTTGGATTCACATTAACTACCTATGAGAAGTGCAGTGAAGATTTTCAGAACTTTATCTCCAATCGTTAATTCACTGCAAAGCTGTAAAGCTGAAAAACATCAAAAAACGCCCAATAAAATTTGGTTTAAATTTTATAATGTTCTGTAGTGAATTAACTATTAAAGATAAAGTTCTGAAAATCTTCACTGCACTTCTCCTGACGAATGTGAATCTAATAAGACCCCAAACAACGAAATTCGCTCTCCGGTTTCAGAGATTTATCTAACTAATTGAAAATGAAAATGATTTTTTGTGGAGCTGTTCATACAGACATTTTTCTGGATTCAAATTGTTATACCACTTGAGTGTGATTATATCAGTTAATAAATTTCTAAAAATTAAAAATCAAGAAAGTATACATGAAGATCCCTGACTTGGTAAGCTTTTTTTTTTACTAAAAGCTAAACGTGGTTATAGCCATAGACCTTATACTTAAGTTTAAGGTAGTTATAGCCAAGGACTAAGATAATATATAGAGGACTGGACACGACAAGGTTGGAGGGTGTGGGGGGTTGACCATGAAATGTTATACAACAGGCGGAGTTCGGGAGGATATTTTCCTTTTATCATTACTAGGGTTAGCATTTTTTTTATGATCAACAAAAAAAATTTTAACAGATAACGTTTGAAAATTGATGAAAATTAATTATAATTAAATATAATTTATATTTAAAAAAAATCAGGAAATACTCATATTTCCTAGTAGCTGGTATATTATTTAATTTTTGTTTGGTAGACCGTAGTGCACACACGTTTAAATAGTAGTACACACTTGTACATTTGTAGTGCACACATAGGGCCTGCTAGGTCATTTAGCGTCAATAGCGATTTAAAGTTTGGCATATTAGTTACCTAATATAATATTATATTAATGCCACTGCTTCAATGAAAATATTTCTTAGGTACCTATTTATCTTGTACTTTGGTCTGCCTTAGGCATTATACCTACTTGAGTGTTCTAAATTGTTGTTATACCTCCATAAAAGAAATAATTATTAGTGTTAATGTTCTAAGTACCTACCCAAGTACTAACTACACTGTAAGATATTTTTACAAGTTTTAGTTTTCACTTTCAAGTATTTCAGGTTTATTTTATAAATTGGTACTAAATGCTAACTTGCTCTTTTCTACCTGTTGATATGATTGTGCAAGCCTAAAAATAAATAAGATGTTTTCACCTTATTCAAGGTCAACAAATTATAAACTAACATAAAAACAGATATCAAAGTATTTTGGATACAAAAAAATGTAAATAATGAATTATTTAAACAAACAGTAATAAAAATGGAATTAAATTAAATTCTAACATTTTAATAAATTTAAGTTTATCAGAATAATTAAATAAATATAAATTATTAGTTTGCAACTATATACTTAAATATAACTTGTTTTAAAAACACAATAATAGTATCTAACAAGATAAAACTGCCAACAAGTTCATAAATTCTTAGCTTCAGTTTTTTAAAGTAAAAGAAAATGTATTTTTAGTAAATATACCATTATGTACAATACATCTTGACATATCAGTGAATCTATTTATATTATTCCAAGTATACATTATCTAAATGTATGTAATAAATTATATTTTGGGATCTTATATTTTGCATTTATTGTTCTATACCAATCATTACAATTTTTGAGTTGGATTGAATTTGTATTATTTTTAGTATGATTTTTTCGGGTTTGGTTTTAGTTTAAGTTTAAAATTAAAATGTCAATAGGTATAGTATATTCAAACCATAATAATGTTTTAAAACATCTGTAAATAAAATATCAGTAGTTTATTTAAGACTTTATAGTACAAGTTATATCTGCTACGCAACACTAAATGAAAAAAAAAACATTTATTTATAAAAAGTTTTGGAATATAAATGAAATATATTAAAACAATTACAGAAATTTTAATTCCATACTAATAATATAACTAGTTTTTTTTACACTTCACTGCAATGTTGCTCTTTGATTAAATTTTTAAATGTAGTTTATAAATGATAAAATTATGTCTTAAATATAATATTACAACACAAGTTGTAATCATTTATAGTCATTTATGTACATAATTAAGAGCAAGTAAATTAATGCTTGCCAATATGATGTATGGAAAGTAGTTAAAATTTTTAAAAATATACATGCAAGAAACAGGAAAATAGCTTTAAATAAAGCCCATGAATGAAAAAAAAACCAACAAAGATTAACCGAAATAAATAACCAATAGACATTGATTGTTTTGTAGATTTTTACCTGTTCAATTTCACACTTATATTTTAAATATACAGTATAATAATATATTATATACTAGTATATGGAATCATAATAATATGTTATCATTAGAAGTTATGAATTTAAAAGAATTTACAATATTAAATAAAATGTGTTGTTGAACTTCACTAGCTTATGAAATTGGTAATACAGTTATTGAATGTTATGCGATGATTATTTATTTAGTCATATCAAATCTTCAGTAGATAACATCAGTATTACACACTAATATCCTCTTGGACCAGCTGGAGGACCTAAATAATAATTTTTGTATGTAGAAAAAATGTTGATCATTTTTAATATACAACACTACTTACCTCCTCTCATCATAGGTGGAGGACCGCGCATGTTATTGGTTGGCATTGGTGGTGGTCCACCTCGACCCATACCAGGCATTGGTGGCATACCAGCTAAGACATAATTAAAATATTATTAAATACATGATTGATAATGTATATTTAAACATATGCATACCCATCATGCCTGGTGGAGGAGCCATCATTGGTGGACCTCTTATTGGTGGTTGAGCGGGAGCACCTCTAGTTGGTGCCATTGCAGCTGGCGAAGGACCTCCAACACCTCTCACTGGTCCTTGTAAGCCTATATGTATAAATAAAATAAAACTACTTAGAACTCTAAAATAAATAAAAAGAATTTATGACACTAAAATATTTAGTGAATACTTATAAATAATAATCATATATGTTAACAACAATTTAATTTCTAAATTTGTTAAATAATTTAGAAGAAAAATCAAACTTAAAAAAATATTTATTTAAAATACATATTATGTATTATCATTCTATAACCTACAAATAGATGGTAATTTTTAAAAAAGTTACATTAAGTATTATAATAGTTATATTTATAACTGTAATAGGTACTAACCAAAAATAATATTTTATGTTCAATAAAAATAGTTGCAAAAATTAAGATATTTTTTAATTAGGTACCTAAATAAAAACCAACCTATGGTTTTTACAAAATATTAAAACTATTTAAAAAATTTTAAGAACAATAAATATATAATTCTAAAATATTACCAGGTGTAGCTGCTGATGGTATGACAGAAGGCATCCCTCGTCCGGCAGCACGGCTAGATCCTGGACCACCACCACCACCGGGTAGGGGCACTCTTGGAAGACCTTCCTCAGGTGGAGGGGGTCCTTCGATAGTTATAGATACTATATTTTGTCCACGTAATAAAACAAAACCAAGTACACGCTTTTCTTCTCTTGGTTCTGCGGGTATTGTAGGTACTTTGGCTTTACTTTTCAGTCTACGAAATTCTTCACAGTCGGCCAAAATCAAGTTCATATGTTTATCGAAGGCTATGAAACACAAAAATGTTAGCGAAACTATCAAACATCAATATTAATTTATAAAAGTTGAATAAAATACCTTTAAATGTGCCAATGAACATTCTGGAATCTTGTAAGATGACGCGCACTCTGTAGTTGATGTGCTGCATCATCTTGTTATTCTTTGTGACAGGCTATAATCAGTAAAATTGTATTCATGAAACAAGACACATTGTGTAAAGTTAACCCATTAACAATACATAGAATTAAAATATAATCAAATAGAACAAGCAGCAATTGAATACATTTGTGGGTAGCTAGTATTGAGAAACGAGTGGGTCCAATAACTGAACAGATGTAACTGTGTCAAGCCATTAATGGTCTTAAACCGTAAACGGTTCGATCTACCTAGCACGACCAATTCGCAATAGCTCGAAAACATTGAACGGTTCAAATTTTTTCTTGGCCCTTGAAATGCTTGTAACTTGTTTACAACACTTTTAAGTTAAATTAATTTTTATTCCCCTTGAGATTGGATTTATCGAGACTCGACAAGGGAAGCAATACAAGACGACAGTTTCCGGAACAATCTGTTCGTCAAAAACCACATTAAATAGACGTCAAACGTCCAAATAGAAGTCGAATAGATACGAAACGTACAAAACATTATATCATTAATTATGTAGGTATCCTATGAGATTCTGTCGAAGGAAAATCTATCTCGACGTTTTGGATTTCGCATACACGAGTCGTATCAGGGACAATACACAACGACAAGTCGTCAGAAACGGAAAATTGGAAGCACAAGAGTCGTGCGGTTAGAATACTCACCATTTTTGCGGGTTGTGTGTCACAGGAGTACGGGACTGAATTCGAGGCAGATTCGGAGTTTAAACGTTTTTAAACGTACGGCTTTCGGTTTACTGTCCGGCACTTTAGTATTTACCTAACACCTAACCAGTAAACAAACGCGGAAACGCCGTCGGTCGCGCACTACAGTCATGAAGTGAGGCGCGTCGGTTGTTCGCCGCGCGCCTAGAGTTACGGAAACGGATCGACATTGGCAGTGCTGCCAACGCGAGCCCACGACACCGACGACAATCCGGACCGTGGTACCATAATGTTCTGTGGTGGTACCATAGAACAAAATGATTGCACGGCGTTGATACCACGAATTAATATATACTGGATACCGCGCATAGAGTAATATTATAATTTATAATATTACTCTACGCGGATCATAGATATTAAAGAATTGTCCATGGCTTAAATATATAAGCCATGGAATTGTCTATGATGTTTAATCACTCTATTATGGTGTGGATACGCAACGAACCTGTGATAAGTGAAGCACTGAAGCCCGCACTTCCTCACGTTGACTGCCATAGCGCTTTATAGGATTGTTCTGTCTTAATTAGTGGTTGATACTTGATACTTGATACTTCAATACTTGATACCAATAATTATTGAAATAATGTGGCTATTTAAAAGTTAGAAGTTACAATAAAAGTTGTACTTGGTTCAACGTCGACGACACGTTGTACATTAATAATTGTAACTAGTAAGCAAGGTGTATTGTTATGTATATCAATACATCTTACTAGCAAGTTATAGTTGTTAGTCAGACTTATTTACACTATATTTTATATACTAACATTTCTATTTGGTATACTGTTTATTTTTGGGGCACCTACGACCTACCTGATTAATAAAATATAAATAATGATTATTTTATTATTCATTGTTTATGGTAAGTACCTGTACGTTGAAAAACACAAATATTACAATATGTTTTTAACAATTTTAACTAGAAAAATTGTAGTCACTAAATTGGATTAAAATGAAAGGTGTTGTGTGCGGACTTAAATTAATTATTGGGTACCTACTCGCCTTTTTTAAGTATAAATAAAAGTTAGGTGCTTTGTCATTCTCTTTTTTACCATTCAACAATTAATGTTCTCAAGCCTTTTAAACATTTGTCTTTCTCTATAAATAACAAAGTCTATTATACTATATACTATGTGTTTCATTTTCATCAAAACGCTTATCAACATGGGTGTTTGAAAGGCACATATTATTATCTGTGAATGTCAATAATGAACATTTTAAAACGTTGTTCGACAAGGAAACGTACTATTGCCTATAGATTACGCCGTGCAACATATGTGTGGTTTAATATTTAAGACTCTGAATGAATGGCGAGGGACTGAGAAATGTCATGGGTATACGATGTTTTATCCGTACCTGTTTATTTATTGGATACATTTTAGAGAAGAAGTGGAGTTTTGAAAGTTTCGAGTAGTCCTGTGGTCCTGTCTATCGATTGGGAGTTTGAATTTGTACCAAATGGATGGTCCATTTCCCGAAAAGGATATACAACGTACTCGTGGAATAAAATAAAATAAATATACAATTATTATGTTCAATGTAAAAGTAGGCTTGCAAGTATTTGCGAAGATGGTCGAACGGTACTAATGTACTATACATTTACTAAAAATAGTAATTAATTATAATTTCAAACAATTAAAAAAATTGAAATATATATAACACAGTCAAGCAACTTTAAATCATTCTTTATGCATTCGCATATACAAAATAATTATTTTTATTTTGTCAACAAAAGTAATATTTTTAACTGCAGTTGAGCTTAGCAAGAATTAATTAGTAGGTACCTGAACTAAATAAATTTATAAACTATAATTAATAAAAATATGGATTAAAACTATTGTAGATATATTATCATTGGGTATATAATATTCTTTGTTTTAGAATTGTGATTATTGTGATAAATAAACATGTATATACTTTTAAATTGAAAATTTTAATAACATCAATCAATATTGTGATATTTTTTTTAGTTTTTACGTTTTTTTTTTTTTTTTTCTTTTTTTTTTTATTGAACAAACATAATATATTTACAATCTGTATTTACAAGTGATACAATAAGTAAATGTGAAGATTTTTTGGTAAACAGGAGGGGGAAGTCACCCAGTGGCGGCACCCCGTGGAAGGGTTTTTACGTTTATAATGATTTTTCATCATCAATTATATTGGTATTTGGTATAATGTATTATATCTAACTGGTGCCAACATAGTCCGTAATCGTAAAAAATAATTAATAAATACTTTTCAATGAATAACCATGCTATATAAAACTGCTTATTGTACACGAGTATTCTTTAAAACAAAAATACGGTATATCTAAATTACTAAACTTTCTCACTTCCGTTAAAAATCTAAACAAACAACTAAAGTAATATTACTTATTATAATATGCATTTCTGAACTTCAACTTTTTCTAGTAATAAAATGTAAAACATATTTTCCCAGAATTTATAAAACTTAAGGAAACTAACAAACATTTGAGATTGTCTATATTGCAATATATTATTTGGATCAATGGTGAACTAGGTACTTTCATACAAAATACATAAATCAGAAATAAATAATAATATATTATAGTCTATCACTGGATCTATGGTCTAATCCAGGGGTTCCCATTCTTTTTTGTTTCGCTGATCCCTATTTGAACCAAGGTTTTCTCAGAGCACCTTTCCCCAAGTCATAACATGAATAATCATAAAAAATAGAAAAACTAAATAAAAACTAGTAAAGATTGTGATGGGTAGAATGAAAAAATGTATTGAATTTAATTTATACAGATTATATACATTTTTATTTACATAATCATAATTATTTCCGTGACCTCCATGATTTTGTATTCAAATTTATTTTTGGATCATATAAAATTTTCCGACCAGGGCTCCGGGGCGCCCACTTCGTCAACAGCTAGTCTAATCTATATTGACTATATTATAGAACATGTTTTAATCTTATGACTTAAATCAGTTATATCGATATAGTTTTAAAATGCAGCTGCAGTTTTTTTTAGTACGTCATAATCTGTATAAACTTAAATCCTATAAATAGTAATTAATCTATGCATAATAATTGATAATATAAAAATATAATTTAAAATGTTTACATAAAGTCACATAAAACGTAATGAATTAAACCCAGACGAATCAACAAGCGCGTGACTTAATAAAAATTTTAAAATATATAAGTTTAGCTAAATCTCTCATGAAAGAGTCGAACTATATTGAGTGATGATATTATATCCGCTACAAGAGATTCAAAGCCATTATGAAATGATAATTTTTGTGACCTTGTTCGTGTATGTGTTGTTATATGAACTAAATTGTTAAAGTATCACTCATTGTTCAACGAATTACCTAAGTAGTTTTAAAAAAAATATGTTTAGGCTTTATTTTGTTTTAATATAATTAGGTAATAATAATATACAAGTTTTTTAAGACCAATACATGGTCAGTGAATAGTTATTGAAGTCAATAGATTCTATACAGACCACATTCTAAGTACCTATGAATGGGTACACAATTAATAATTTAAATTAAGTAAAATACGAATAATTTAAGCAACTAAAGTATTTTAAACAAAAACATGTATTGATAACAAACCTGCAAAAGTTACGATGAATTGGGTAGATGGGTAGATTATTTTTTTTATATATATTATTATAGTCGTTCCTATATGATTTAGGTTTCAATATTTGATTTATAAATCGTATTTCATTTTATATCTGTGGTAATATTTTGTGCATGTATTATGTAGGTACCTATACTATATATTTTACACTTGCGTATAAAATCTCAGTCCGCAAATAATTCGAATAAATTATTGAATGTCCCATGATAAGGAAATAAATAATTCGTGAACTCTAGTAGGTTTACAGATAGTTTCTTTCAAGTTTCAACAGTTGTGAACTTTATGGCTCCCTCGAGGGTTACAATAATTCACTCAAATGGTATTTTATTTCGCTGAGTTGCCGAAGTGGCGAAGTGTTAACACGTGGCGTAAATCGGAACCTCGAAAGAACTCTTACACTCCAAAATGAATAATGTAGACGTAATCTACTCAATTGATGTACATTTTCTGATTCTTGATTCCAACCTCCATATCAAATATATTTTATAAAAAACTTTAAATAATTATTAATTAGGATACTACTTTGTGTGTAGTCGATGTACGTATAACACTCATACCCATGTATTGTTGAGCGTCGATTACCCAAACTAATTGAGACTCGGATGCATTTTCATAAATTTCAAAGCGATTTGCTGATTTTTATTTGTACCTACATAATTTAACGTGATTGTAACCATAAATAGATAAATAATATACAAATATGAAGATATCTTAAAGATTATCAAATTAAAATCATGTCTTAATAATGGAATAAATATAATACAATAAGAATAAAAAAGAAAGTAAAACAATAATGTACAATACATAGGTATAACACGTCGTAATAGATTATCGTAAATTTATAATAATTGGTGAATCACTCTGTAAAATATTTTTTTACTATGTGTTGTAGAATATTAATGAAATTTATATTTTATTTTTAATTTAAGATACTTGATCATGCGGGCAAAGGTAACGCCGCAACAATTACTTCTAAAAAAGAATCACCAGGATCGTATTGTGGCGAAATTGAACAACCGCAAACATTCTTGTCAGAAACGAGTTCAGTTCGAGTTATTTTTCAGACAAATAACTTTACAGATCAAACTTATTACAGTTTCGATTCAAGAGCTGAACAGGAAACTCAAGTTTACTTACGATATGGACAGCATCCGGAACTCTATCCAAATAGAAGAGGATTGTTGAACCCTGGGTTAGAACAATATCAATTAGATATTTTATAAATTTTGTTGTATTACAATTATCAGTATTTATGCTATGATAAAACATCTGACATCAGATGCTAAAAAATTACGTGGATATTCAAATTTGTAGTACCTATTAGTAATTAAAAATTAGAAGTTCGAACGTTCATAAAAAGTTGAATGTTCCATTTCATTAAACTTTTTTTTGTTAAAGGTAGAAAAATTTAAGTGGAATCTTGCATAAAAAAATTTAATGCTAGCTATGAAAAGAAAAACTTTTTTGAATTTTTAACTGAAAAATAATCTACAAATTTTTGGGATTTTGATGAATTTTGTCAAAATTTGAACTTCAAATGGGTGCTATATAAAAAATAATCGTGCCTATGCCTCTTAAATATTTTTAAACTTCTATTAAATAAATTTATAAGGAACTTTGGATTCAATTTTCATGCTTTTTTACTAAGTGAAAAAGTTTTTATTGATAGAAATTTAAGGAAAATTTACAAAATACGAAAAATTTCTCAAGGCTAAAATTAGTTCAAAAAGAGTCAAAATATATCGAAAGAGTTATTATACATGGAAAATTATAGTATAAATATTTGGTGAAAGTTTCAAATGTCTACGATTATTAGTTTTTGTCGTTTTTGAGTTAAACCAAAAAAAAAAAAGTCGATTTTATTAAAAATTAGTTCTGTATAAATTACCACTTTTTAAAATTAATTTTTGATTTTTCTAATGCTTTTTAAAGCTACTGAGAATTTTATATTTTGTTACATTAGTTCAAAATACGATACGAAATTCGAATCTATAAATTAAGAAATATGTACCTACTATAACAACTCGATGGCCCTTGAAAAAAAACGAGCTAAGTTTATTATAATTAATTATTAATTATAAGAAAGTACACTTTGTGAACGATCAATCACGGTGAAACAACTTCGAATCGCCGATAGTTGAATGGTAAGAACTTCGAATATTGTCAACTGTTGACGGCTGGTTGCCTAATGCCTGGTTCATCCTACATTTTACTTCAAATAACGCTGTGTGTATACCTACCCTACCTGATTGCATTGTTTTTCTTCGAGTTTCCTCAAAATCATCAAGGGACCGAGCATTTTCTTCAAATTACCTATAGTTTCGAACTCTCAAAGGTTTAAACTTTAAAATATCAACTGTAGGTAAATCAATAATTATACATATTGTATGTTCTTATAATACCTACATGTATAGACGAAAAGAAAATGAATAAATTTCCAACAATTAAAATTTCTAACTTACAATAATTACTTATTAGTATGTACCTATATTAAACACCCGCGTATATTGCACACTAATTTTCCGTACATTATTTAAATTGATTAAAGGAGCTATTGTGATAGGACATTTAAAGAATGTCGACTGCAAACGTGTTATGTCCAAAGTCCAGCGTATCCAGGAGTGTATCCGAGAAATCTTAAGTGCAATTATTGGCTGAACACTAAAAATCCGTTTATCCGTCTGTACATACAAAATGAAGAATTCAACGTGGACGGTCAGCGATGTGAAAATATAATCACATGCCCTATGAGACCGATAACTTCAGGTAACCATACAATAATATACAATTTTTATTACATCTATGCACAATTATACAATATTTTCAGTAATAAAAAAAGGTGGGCAAGTGGATGTCGATCTGCTGTACAATAGGTTACACGTGGGTTAATGTATAATGGATTGTATTTAACTTGAATTCAATGATATAATATCATTATTCATTGTATAAGAAAAACAGTTCTGAGCAGAGACGGTTTATCAGTCTGGATATTTTGTTATTATATTTTTTTATAGCCTGCAAGTTGAATTTTTGTATTATTATTTTTTATTCGTTTCTATGGTGATAAACAAAGCGTTAGAAATTAAAATCCCATTTTTAGCGGTTTTTCAAAATTTGTATAGAGATTTTGTATACAGGATAAAAAAAAATACCATTGTTAAACCATACTAGCTTCTTAGCTCTGCTCAGAATCTAGAAAAAACACACATCATTGTGATATCAATATATATATCTAAAATAAAGGTTGGAAAATATTAAGCTTCCGGAAAAACGATTATGAACGGGTTTGGCTCATAAAAAAGTGGCTTAGTATTAATTCTTAGCATTGATAATATCCACTGTTTTTCACAATATTTTGGAAAACTATTAGGACAATTTAAAAATGAATTTTTTTGGTATGTATACCTACGTGTTTTCTTAAATTAACAAATTTGTATAAAAATGACTCAAAAATTGTTTTCTTAAAAAACGGTTAAAAAAACTCATATAATATGTCATACAATAAATAAAAAATAATGATTGTAAAACTAATATCTAGCGATCCACTGAGAGTATAATAGAAATACCATAAAACCAATAGGTAGAGCATTTATTTTTATTCGTCATTTGGTCCTTAAGTTAAGAACCTTAACACGTCAAGGGATTTAAATATTAATATTTGTAAATGATCATAATAATTGTTGTTTTTTCATATTATAACTTATAATATGTACTGACTGTTTATCAAATATCGAGGGGCTAAATATTGTTGTATTTCTGCTGTGCATCTTAATGAGATTTAGTTCGTTTCGTTTGAATGTATATTTTTTCTGCCAAGAAACTAAAACAAAAATTAGAATTGATATGTCATAAATTATGACATTATTATTCTAATTTTTGTGAAACGAAAGTAAGCGTGGATAAGAGGTATATTGTCACCCAACATCTTAAGACTGAAAAACATAAGCGGGCAGCTACGTACGTTGAAAATTTTACAAGTAAAATACTTACACAATCATTTATAACAGACGCTACAAAAAAGTCTAGATTCAATCACGATTCACGATCTATGTAAGGCTGTGTTGGCAGCCAATATATATTTGAATAAATTATCCAATCCATGTTTTAAAGAATTTCTATCAATGTACACTGCTAAAAATATTCCTCGTGAATCAACATTAACGAAAGGGTATGTTAATGAAATTTATGAAAGTACAATTCAAAAAATTAGGAACTATGTTCAAAATAAATGTATTTGAGTGTCAATAGATGAGACAACCGATGTTACAGGCAGATATGTGGCAAATGTTGTTACTGGCATTTTAAATGACACTGAGAGTAGTAAGATTTTTCTTTTACATTCTGAGGAGCTGGAAAAATTTAATCATTCCAATTTATAAATTATTCGATAGATCAATGAACTTACTTTGGCCGAAAGGTGTTCAGCACGATAAAGTATTATTGTTTCTTAGTGACGCTGCCCCTCCATGGTTAAAGCTGGAAAAGTCATTAAATTATTTTATTTAAAAACTATACACATTACTTGTTTGGCCCATACATTTCATAGGATTGCGGAAACTATACGAGTAGGATATCCAAAAGTTGACAAACTGTGAAAGGGAAAATAATATACAACACTAAACAGTAAAAATAGGTACTTAAAGAAAATTGTTTTAATTTTTCAGAGCTAGAAAACTCGGAATAAAACTTTTCTGAAAGAAACTCAAACTGAAACGTTTGACTATGTATAGTGTATAAACGTACAAATACTAATTTTAATTCACATTTGTATTATTTAAGTTATTAATTATTATTTATTAAATTACATTTAAAATACAAATAATGATTGAATTATATTTCAGTGCATATAACTTTTTTGTGCATATTTTCGTGTATTTTTGATATTATTTTAATGCATTTTTGCATGCATATTTTCATGATTTTCAATGCAACAACTTCCGAGCCCTAGTCATAATTTAATTTATGTTTGTCTACAAAATTCCAAATTTAAAACTAAACCGCATATTTATATGTTTATGAAAATATGTATATTAAAAATATAAATGGCATGATCATAGGTATTAAGGTATTTCATTTTAATATTAATTAAATACACATGAAATAATGGTTTCATTTCAAAAGCAAAAATCGAATTTATTTGAGGGTTGATAGCCTATCGGTGCCTACATAATACGATATTATATTATAATTAAATATTCAACCAGCAGTGAAGATAAAATAAATAATATTATAGTAGAATGCGAGTATTGTTTGTGCCCTTTGTGGTATATTCCCCATGTATTATTGAATGCCGTCAGTGTTATAATAAATTATACGTTAGTGACAATGCATTAATATTTCTATAATTTCCAATGAAAATGCATTTATTAACTGCAGTATGCTAATATCAAACTATTAAAATATGTTAAAGGAGCCGAGTATTGCCCATATGATTATATAAAAATATATGACGGTAAAAACGCATCAAGCCCAGAAATTGGAACTTTTTGTGGAATGGGCAAATTTCCTCATTCAATTGTCGGTACGAGTGAAGACTTATTTGTGGAGTTTGTAACATCAACAGCAGGTACGGTTTTATTTATATTTTTTTATAATAATCTATATCGAGTCTTGACAATTTAAATTAAAAAGGTTAAATCAGTAAAAGTTATTTTTTTTTTTTACTAATTAGATATGCCATGTGTGATGTGTATATTTTACTATGTCAGCCAAGTACCTATAATATTATGGCTATATAGTATCAAAATTATTCTAAATAAGATTCTTATAATACTTTATAATATACTTATTTAAACTTTATTGTAATTATTTCGGTCATTTGTCCGTAGGTATTTTTAAATATACCTTCATAAATCTCTCATTTTCACGGTTTGAGTATTAAATCTGTCAAAATACAGTCCAATGCTAACAATTATATAGTACATATATATATATACGATATACCTATGGGTGCTATATGAGTAATAGTTCTCAAATTAGTATTCTTAAAGTTTATGAATTATAAAACGATAAAGCAAAATATTACTCTTCACCTAATCGTTTATTTTACGTTCCCTCACCTTTTTAGTGTATAAATTAAAACTATTTAAATTGAATAAAATGGGTGGAGAAACAAATATGTATACTTATATTATACTATATTATAATTTATAGTATAATATAGCTAGGCGTGTATTGTACAATATGTAGTAAATTAAATTAATATCCTTTCCCTTTAAAACTTTAGATTAAATGGCAATAGTTTGAGATACCTAACTTGAATTTGTTGTTCACTTAAACATAATAATCAAGTCGAGAAAGTTATTAAATATTTACATATTATAAATAATATGAATAAAGGATAAGAATGTTAAAATGTAATAAAACTATATGCATTTATAAAAGCCTTTAATATTTAATTTTAATTTAGCTTGGTAGGTAATTACTAATTAGGTACCTGTAATAACAATAACATTGAAATTATTCCACTTAAAATCGTTTTAAACGTGTGAATACTTATATATCAATAGTTATAGTTTTATATCTATTTAACAGCTATATTATATACCCAATAATATAATATTTTAATATTTCAAGTAAAGATCGTTTTATTAGCCATTATAAATTATAGGCACTAGGTATATTATATAGTATAATTTCTTAAAAAAACACGAAAAATATCAGTTTTTAAAAGCCTAAAGCACACATAGCCAGCTATACTATAATGTGAAATAATTACTTAAAGAAAATGATTTTATTGTTTTTTTATGTGATATCTGCAAAAGTAGGTTATACAGATTACAGACACCTATATATTATCTATATAGTCTTAAAAATCTAAAAATTATTCAAAATTTTACCTATATAACACCTACCGGCTACAAAATATTTATTATTATACGTGCCTACCTATTTCTTGGTTATTAATTTATTATGAATATTTTTTTATTTTACTATTTGTGTAAATTCTTGTATACTCATCATATAACTTATAAGTGTTAGTAAATTTATTTCCGATTATTTTGTTTATTTATTTCAACATAGGCCCGCTTTTAAATACTGGCTTTCATTTTAACGTTGGTAATATGCCCGGCCACATGCAGACCGCCGGTGACAAAAACGGTACTTGCGATTGGATTCTATCGAGTGAACATCTGAGCAGAGATCACCACACCGAAGGGATATTCATGTCGATCGCTCACTGGTATCCTCCACACACCTCCTGCACTTATCATTTACTTGGGCTGCCGAATCAAGTGGTCCGAGTTTATTTTCCCAGGTATGTCGACTCGCTCAGAGCTCTAAACGTACCTATAATATTGTACTGAATAATTTTACTTTGAACGATAATTCATAATATATTACCTATACTTGTTATGTTATTATTTATAATTATTGAAACCGATGTCCGCCCGGCCGATTCGCCATAATGTCATTGTTTTCAATAGTGATTAATATCTACTGCAGATGTGACATTGTGACCTTAAAAATACTTGATCACATTATAGCTTTCGAGTAAATAGCATCGAGAGTCCTGTGAAGAGCGACTGGACCGGCGACTGCGGGGAAAGCTTAACCCTCTACGATGCCGCGGAACCGGACGATACGAGAATCATTAAAACGTTTTGTGACACGTTTTCTAAGCCGGCCGAAAAACACGATTTCATATCGACGGGAAATTCCATGTTTATCCGATTTGAAAGCAAGACCGGCAGTTATTCAGGGTGAGAATAATGGATAGATATTGTATAGGTAAAATAAATATATATAGTATTGTTGATCTACGAGACTACAAATACTGTACAATAGTATGATTATTAATATGTGTATAGATATATAATATAATATATTCATAATTATTAATACTCGTCGTTGGGCTTATTACGCACAGTGGGTGACCGTTGTAAAATATATTAAATTATTATTATACCGGAAAGTAGCGGAAACGGACCACTCAGCAGTGGTGAATCTTCACGAGTATAGTCTATATCAGCGACTCCGCACGTGATATAATATTATCATAAAAATTGTACGTAAAGAATATGAGTCGAGAGGCTCCTCCCCTGTATCCATTTACAGATAAATCCTAATCAGTGACTCATGTACGATATTATAATATGAAGAAAGTATGACTTAAAAGTTAAATTTGAACAAAAATTAATTTGCTACAACATACACTCAAATCGAATCTGTAGGTAATATAAAAATAAACCTATCGGTTTATTATTATAATATGCCAACAAAAAAAATCGAAATTATTATTTTTTAATAAATAAAACAATGCATGACGAGTGTAATTTCTTTTTAGGTCGTCGTTGTACTATTGGGCTCACTATGACTTTTTCAACAACACGAAATTCGGTACTGCAATACCAGATACAGTGTGCGACGAAGAATTCGTCAGTTGGAAACCATCGTCGGGGTATTTCAGATCACCAGTGAACACGCTGGTCTACAAACGACAAGGGACAGTTACGGATCCTGATGCTAAATCTCAACCAATTATTTGTCGTTATAAATTTACAACAGACGTGCGGTTATTTGCCCGAATTGTATTGAGAATTGAGTCTATTAAATTCAAGGTATTTTTATTTTCATCAAATACATTTTATATAATTTGAATTGTATACCTATACATGTTGTGTAATAATATAAATACCAAAAAAAAAAAATGTCATTATATAGTAATATACGAGTATACAGTTTAATCGCGATAACTGGAAGTTGAAGGGGGATAAAAGTTCACTTCGAGATATTTATTATTCGAGATATCTTACTAATTTCTGGGGTGACAATTTTCTAGGAAAATAAAACACAATTAGGCTTATTTTTTTTTTTTGAAAATGTTGACGTATCAAAATCAAAATTTGAATGAGTACTTAGTTTTTGTGTTTGTGTACTAAAATAATAGGTCCACCATGATAATGGGTTAGGAACTTTGGAAGATATTGGGGCTATGGGGATTTTAATTTTTAGTAATTTATCTCTCAACATGTGATATTTTTGATTTTGAGATCTTCCCATCAACGTCGCTTCAGTTGCGTCCGCGGAGAGGGTATATACTTAACGCGAACAAACGACGGGTAGTCGATTCCCAGCGAAAATTATTCAATTCCAGTATACACATATATATTTTATAAGTGCTCGAAAAACAAATAAACACTAAAATACGGAGTACATATTGTATACAAAACGCTTTATATGTTTGTATGGTCGAGTGAAACATTTCATACGCATTATAATAGTATATTCTATTATTGCGATTATATATTATTAACCGTTTCGCGTGAGGGCCCAAAACGATTTCAACACATTCGATTTCTACACATAGTGCGTATGTTTACAGGACAACAATTATAAAACGCCCATTGAAAAGGACAACGACTGTTGGTACAGCGAACGCGACAAGCTACTGGTATGGGAGCCGGAGGAGATCGACGCAGGTTTCGGGCTGAACCGGACGATTATCAATCAATCGAACACCAACAACGGTCTGTGTTTGTTCAGCAACGTAAACAAAACGAGAACAAAGCCGTCGGACCCGCACGCTGGCGAAATAAAATTCGTCTCGTCGGGAAACTCGTTGAACGTCGAGTTGAATCTAAACCCCCAGCACGCGGCCATGAGCTATTTCAAGTACGACGTGCCCTTGTTCGAGGCCAGATACGAATTCGTGCACGGTCCTCTGTGCGGCCCCTCCGTCATACAGCCTGTCGACGAAGGCGAACTCTTGTTTCCGCGGTTCGACGCCATGGGATTTGTGGAGCCACCGAAAACCCTCGAATGTATTTGGGAGATACGCGTTCACGAGGACCGGGATCTGTGGTTACATTTTAATCAGGTAACTATTGATTAAAACATAATATAGTACCTAGCTATACCTAAATAAATATTATCGTAACATCCATAAGTCATAACATAGGTGTACCTTTAACGGTGTCGGATTTAGCAGTGGCGCAGAGGGTGAAATGCGACACGGGGTCTCGAGGGTGAGGTTGTTTGATAGGTCTCGGGTTTTCTAACTTTGTTAGGAAATAAATATTATTAACAATATTGATCGAGAAAAAAGTAATTTTGAGAAATTACCCTCACTCGTATACTGTTATGGAATCAGTGAACACGCCTAACCTAACTCTTGAGTAAATTTAAAGGAACACTTGAGACATGAGGTACCTAGTTGAAATGTTTTCATTTTTAAAGCCATATTTACTTTTATAGTCTTATGAAACACCGAAAAGTATTTGATTAATGCATCATATTTATATTTATAAAAGCTCTAGAGACTTTAATTCGATACTGGAAAGTGGTTACCTATACCTATATTAACAGTGTTGGGAAAAGATAACCAAAAAATCATCTGGATAAGATAACAGATAATTCATTCAAAATTTATCTAGATAAGATAAAAAATAACGTCATTTTTTTTTATCTTGATAAAGATAAAAATACACATACATATTTTATCTAGATAAAAAATTGATAATTTGTTTTTAAATTATATTATAAATAATGTAATTTATTAGTTATTACTATAATTAGGTAATATTTATTAATTAATAAATCCTTAATGTCATTTCTCAACTAAAATAATATACAATTTTTATCTCAATGTTTCAGTAAGCATTTCTATTTTTAATTACCTATAATAATATTGGAAGTTGGAATCACTACTCAGTTCTCGTAAATTCTTGGCTATTTCAGTATTTAAAAATTATTCTTATTATTATATTATTTTTCTGGATAAATTATCACAGATAACCATCTAGATGAGATAATTAGATTATTTAATTATTTTTATCTAGATAAGATAATTAAAGAAATAATTTTATCTAGATAATTCCCAACACTATATATATTATTATATATCTACTGCTCACCTAATAATTCGTTCGGTATTGGGACTGTACTCGGGGTAGCTGGGAATATAATTTACCAATCGAAAAGCAATATAGCAGATCAGTTAAAAATATTTTATAAAAAAAAAAACTGGTCGCAGTGGAAGATAGTCCCGGTTCATGGGTTCATTTTCAAAATTGAGTGATTATTATACTATTCAAACTTCTTTATTTTAATTAGACCGAAGTCGGTGTAGATGATCTTTAGACGTGTAAAGTTATATTGTTTGCCAAATGAGTGCTTAAAAATTTCCTCCCTAAATTGCAGTCGCTTGGATAAGTTTCCTGAGAGGTTGGACCGCCTCTTATATGTAAATACGGTAAGTAGGTACTTCATTTTACAGTGCTCATACAAAGGCGAAAATATAAGTCACTAGCATTGTCGTGTTATACACTTATACCTCCCACACTCATTAGTCGTTATACGCACAAATTCGACCTAGGCGGTGCGAAACAAATAGTTTATAGTTTGTAATGAAAACTATAATTTAAGTCACTAAAAACCATAACAATCATTTAAACTATATGCAGAGAAGTTAAGTACCTATATTATACGACAATAAGCTTTTTTATAAATCCAAGAAAAAATATATTTCTATGATTATATTTAAAACTACTTTAGTACAGGCAATTTGGGTTTGGTTACTCTCTTCTAATAGGTATGTAATATTTAAAAAATAATAATTTTATGGCAATTTATATTTAAGTTTTAAAATATAACAATAATAAAATGGTAAAGAAAAAAATATATAGGCCACTTGGTTAGACTTCTGCAGCACCAAGGGGAAATGACAACATTTTTTTTACATTAATGTATCGCCCCCCCCCCCTCCTTGATATGAACCACTACTGACCTAATATATATATAATTATTAGATAGGTAGGTACAGTGGCGTCCGCAGGGGGGGGGGGCTAACGGGCTGAAGTGTTATATTACTTAAAAAAAAATATTTTTCAAGTTTCAGCTGTCAACTATATTAAGCAAGACCATATACGTCTTACCAGAACGAATTAATTTTTGGAAAAACATTGTATTTGCATACTAATTTTCCTAAAATTATCTGTAATTTTTCGGTAAAAGTATGAACTACTTGTATGGAAGACCTTGTATTAAATTGTCTAGGCTTAGCTATATAACACATTTAATATTTTATAAGTTTTGAACTACAAATTACCTGTGGTTTTGACGAAATTCGAACTTTAAATGCTTTCAAAAAAAAACCATGATGCCTATGTATCGTTAATATTTTAGCTATAATAAAAACTTACGTATTACATTTTTAAGCTTTTTGATCGGATGAATAATTTTTTATTGACATTTATAGAAAAAAAAATGTTTATTAATCAAATACAATCCAAGTGAGGACGGTATAACCTGCACAGAATAGATATTTAATCTATTCTGTGGTATAACCAAGCTGGTATACCTAACAATTTTAATACATTTTCATATTTTTTTCTCTAATTATTTTAAAAAGCACTGAGCATTTTCAATTTCGACCTCCTAAAAGTACCAACTAGATCTAATTTGCTTCCAAAAATACATACACCGGGCATCGAAGCTTATGATCAGAGCATTTTTTCTACCAGAAGAGTTGAAAAGTTACAAACATTTTAAAATATCTCGAGTATAAACGTTTGAAATCATTATACTGGACAAAATAAAAATTACTAATTTTCAAGCCCCCCCCCCCCCATTTAAAAATCCTGCGTACGCCGCTGGGTATAGGTATGTACACAGTATAATAAATATAATATATTATTATGTATTATTATTACTGTTGTAATATACTATGTAACTCGCAGGTGAACTTCGTGACGGACGACTGTCAGGACGGCCGGCTGGAGGTGTACTTGCCGTCCAGGTCGGTGGACTACCCGTTCATGTCGGCGTGCGGTCACAACTCCACGGCGCTCAAAGACCTGCCGCTGTTGACTTCCAAGGACGTCGAAGAGGCCGCCGTCAAGTCGTCATCGACGGTGGGCGGCACGGAGTCTCAGAGGCACGACAATCGGTCGCGGCGGCGGAATCGACAGCGGCGGCGCTACGTGCACGTCCGGTTCGTGGGCAACGCTTACCCGCACAAGGCGCAGTTCAAGATCGCGTGGTCCGAGCTGAGCCATTTGCCGCGGAACCCGGACGGAACTCCGCGCGCCGCCCGGCGGACGTCAGACTCCGACGACGAGTGCGCGTTCCTGTGCCCAGGCGACGAGCGACTGTGCCTGCCCGCCCGGGCCGTGTGCAACGGCGTGGTCAACTGTCCGGGTGCACCCAACGACGAATCGCCGGCCACGTGCGACCGCTGGAACCACGGGTCCGCTGCGTCCACCGACGTGGGTGGCCGAGGGGCCCCGGCTGCCGTCGCTCTGTTCGCCGCCGTCACCGCGGCCATAGTCGTCTTCGGTGCGGCCCTGTTCGCGGCCAGCACGTACTGTCGCCGCCGCCGCGAACTGCTTCGAAGTGGCCGATCCGCGGCGTCCGGTCGCCGAGCGATGGCCGTGAGTGGCAGGTCGACCGACCGCATATATTCTACGGTAACGGTACAACGCAATGTAGTTATATTATGGTATATTATATTAGGTATAATATCTTAACCACGTGGTAATTTGACGGATCGTTAACCTCAGTGAGTGGGGAGAGGGGGGGCAGTGGCTTATTTGGGATTTTTTTCTCGGGGGGGGGGGAGGTCTCATACGATGAGGACTATTTTGGTCTTCTCCATTATAAAATCACATGAATCACATGATGGCAGAGTTTTTTAGCACATTTTCCGTAACACAGTTTTGTATACCTACCTACTGATTGCTCGATTGCTGTATGCTTGTATACTCGTATAGTCGTATCTCACGAACATTGATTTGACATTAATATGTCTTATGTCGAAAAAAAATTGTGTAAAAAAAATAATGCAACGTTTTTATGTGTACTTCTCAAGGTGCTAGATATTGGAAATTTTAATCATAGCTTCCTTATGATGGTTTCATGCAAAGTAAGAATTTTTGAGTTAAGATTCATCCCTCTAAATGCCTTTTGAATATTTACAAATATAAAATTGTACTTAGTACTTTTCTTATCATATTTCCATACTTACAATTACTTGTTGTCTGTTGATATAAAAAATAAACTTAAAGATCAGAACATAAGGCATATTAATGATCTTATATTTTTTCAAAAAGGGCAGACATTTTTGCCTCTTCAAGAATTCTTTTTTTATTTCAAACCTTCTTGCACGCGAGACGCTAATGCGACAACACGGTTCCACTACTTAATATATTCATCCAACATTTCTATTTTTTTCTCTATTATTTCAATATTCTCATTCCTTTTCGTTACAACTTTAGGTCTCATTTTAAACGGTTATAAAAAACCCTAAGTGGACAAGTAGTATGTCAACATAATTTTATAAGAAACACCCATAACACACACAAACCTCATCTGACAACTTTTTTTACAACTGCAATAATTATTAATTATTATCTCTTACTTCTATAATATATGAGTCAATGACATATTATTATGTATGCGTAAATTATCAAAAATAAATTAAATCAGTCGTTTAATACCCATGCAATGTGAGGGTTCTTAATTTATGGGTGTTTTTGACTCGGCTGTGGATAAAACAATTCTTGGATATCAATAGGAATAATTTCTGTATACCGAACTAATGTAAATTATAGAGTATAAACTATAAATTATAATAAAGTATATAATTATACGTATAAAAGTATACCTTAGTATACCTTTACGTCATATACCTCTTAAGTCCTAATTAGTTATTCAGCAGTATTATAGTAGGTAGTGAAATTAAAAATTATGACCGTTTTAATACTATTGTTGCCATTTTTTTATATGCATTTTTCATGAAGCAACGAAAAGAATAGCCACCAATATAATTAACAGGGCGATTCTTTTGTCGTAAACCAATCAATATTTTAGGAATTACAAGGAATTAGTTATAAATTAAAACATACTTTTTTACATTTTTCTTCAAAAATTATTACATTGTTTTATATATACATTTTAATGGATAAGCTAAATCTGCAGGTGGCCATTATTATATTGTTCCGAAAATAATAATTTTATTGATAAAATAAAATTTAACATATTCTCGCATACTTGTCATTTCTGTATTTTACTAATACATTTATCAAAATTATAATTTTAATTGGTACCGTTTAACTACTCCATCCCCCATATTGGTACCTACTCGTATAATATGATTATAGGTATGTAATGTACTATCGGTGATTAGTAAATAATCTATGCATCCTGCAGGGCGTTTTAAAACCCATTTTCTACGACTGCAACAGTTGTTTTGAAAACCCACGTAAATATCGTCGGCGGTTTTGTGTTTTGACGGGGATGATAATTATAACAATATATTATTATTACTCTGTGAATAATATTAGGTACCTACGCCATTATTGAAATAATTTAACATTGTGTTATTAATTATAATTTTATACTATAACTCCACAGGACTACTAGAAACGAATATAATCGGATAATCCTATGAATGTTTGCGGATCAACATTGACAATTCCCACACAGACCCATTACCTATATGGCGAATTAATTAATCGCATATGATTATTCAATTTTTTTTTTTTTGTAATTAAGTATTTACTTTGATGAATGACAACGTATTTATATAATAATAGTGTGTACGCTACTCAATGTAATATTATTATATAATATATCAATTAAATACGCTCATTTAATTGTCTCAATACCTACCAAGTAGATTTTAACTAAAAGTTTATTGTATAACGAACGCATAATATTATTGTTGTTGTTTAATTATATTAAAATATATTCAAAAGTATAAGATATATGAACAAGTCAATTTTATATTGTTATCCTCTATCAACTATGTACCTCTCTATCATCTAAAAAGTAGGTTACCCAGGCACCACCAACACCTGCTAGTAAATGTTCCCAAAATAATAAGCACAGTATTATTATATGTATCTATTTTATTTTCTACAATCAGTCGTTGAATAAAATGTCAAGTTTTCTTAAATGTGATGGTGCGGCGGTAAATGGTAATGTTACCACCAGTGGCGGATCTGAAGGTAATTTATAAGCGTGGTCCAGCAGCTTGTATCATAGCAACTTACTAGGACGTAAATGGAAATTAATTTCAGTTAGAGGACCAAATTGATTTTATAATTACCGAGGTATAAAATGCCCATGTATTCCAAGGTTCCAAGTTAATTTAGATATAGTAGCTACACAAAGTTGTAATAAGAATATTTTCCAAAATATATACACTTCTCCAGCTTAAAATATTTAACAAATTACCTGTCTCAACAGTCACAACAGAAAGAAGGTTTTCAAGTTAGAAAAAACAAAAACCTACTTGAGGATTTCTATGAAAAAGGTAATTTCTTTATTTGTTCCTTTATAATAAACTGAAATGTAGTTATTGGCAATGATGTCAATACACCGAGACATCAAAGTAGAATAAGTTTATAAAGTTATAAACTTATACAAAAACCTCGCATCGAGTCCAAAAAAAAGTTAATCTTCGTATTTTAATTAATGGGAAGTAATAATTAAATTGTAATGTTAAAACTATAAAAAATATTGTAAATTAAAAATAAATAAATATGTTCCCAAAAGTAAAGTGGGTGTAGTATCTGTAATGTAGTTAGTAAACGTTAGAGGCCTATTTTAGCCCCAGGGTTATTAAATCGAGCAATTTTAATTAGGTATAAATGTATACATTGTATTGAAAGTTGGAGACTGCAGTCATTTTCGAATAACGAATATCGTGACTATACTTGGACGAGTTTAATAGAAGTCAGAAAGTTTGAAAGTCCATATCCCTTGTGCACATCAATACCTCATAGCATCATGCAGATTAAACCCCTGTTGCAATTTTGCTGGACTTATGAATGCAAACTATACAATCTCTAGATTCTTAAAAATAAAAAACTATTCACAATAATATGTTCATTAAAGAATGATTATTCAGAGCCTCAGAGAGCACCAGGTTATCTTCACCGGGTATTTTTAAACATAAAATATCTATACAAAAAAATCAGCTAGAGTTGAATTAATGAAAAAAAAAAGGTAAGGGAGAATGGAAGCCCGAAGGCAAATGTATTATAAGAAGCAAAAAAAAACATTTAAAAAATGTCATATGGCATCAGGTTGTCAATGTAAAAAAATCCATTTTAAAAGATTACCTGCAAGATTAAATTGATAAATAAAAACCGACGTTTATTGATGTGAAAATCGTTTTGCATGACAGTGTAAATTTTCGAGCGTTACCTTTTTCGTAGGTACGACCGAGCAAATTTTCTATGGAGTTAATATTTTCGGACTTGTAATTTTTTTTTCAAAATTTTTCGAAAAACACCGAAAATTCTTTTGCCACTAACAGACTAATTATGACGTCAGACTGGGCGTCAACCTTGGGGGTAGGTCAAGATCGGAATTCCTGCCGAGCGAATTTTCTATGGAGGTAATATTTTCAGACTTGTGATTTATTTCCAAATTTTTCCTTCAAATTCTAAGCTCATATAATATATGTTTTCACATCTTATGAGGGTCGCTTGAGACACACGCGTTTTTTTTTTTTTTAGAAGTAACTTCTAACTTAACTAATTTGTCTTGTGGGGGACGGAGTATAGATGCTAATATTAAAGTTAAATTAAATAGTAATCAAAAGTATGCTATTCCAATATATAATATACTCTAATATATATTTCTTAAGAGGTACCTAGAAATTAGAATATATTATGCAACCAACAATAAAGTATAAACTCAAGCTGACGTCGCATCATGTACCTATGCTGTATTTCATCTAATCGTCTTGTACAATGCAGTTCCTACCTATATGCATATTGCATCCCTATAGTTTATAGGTGCCTAATCCGCTCCTCCCTGTTGTTCGAGCATCGCAAATCACTAATCAGACGCTACGATAGAGTATATCGGATACAGTGGTGGTTTCTCGTATGATTATGGGAGGGGGGGGGGGGGTGAGATTCAAAAACATTTATATAATACCTCAGTAGTATATTATTATATAAGTACGACGGTTAGAAAGCTTAGAGAGTCTTAAGCAGTTTATTTAAATTATTTTTCCAAATGTATATGGGGCATGAGGCCCTATACTCAGTTGGGGCCCGGGATGCGATTGCATCCATTGCCAGCCCACCACTGCATGGACGTAATTTATGCATACTCAGATTTTCATAACGATAATTTGTGAACGCAGTTCGATAAAAATCTAAGACTTTATAAATTAAACTATAATATTGTATAATAATTTATTACCTATCTGGTTGAAAATATCAAAATATAACACGATATTATAATGTTATTTATTTACATCACTACGGTTTACTAATAAACAGAGTACCTACTCACAATAAAATATTATTTTGTTGCACGGGTTGAACTCTATTTGCTGTAAAAATATGTTTTTTTCGAAAGAATTTTTGATAGGAATTTCCTTCGCTTCCATCGGTATAGCAGGAGTGTCTTTCCTATTGTCGAGGAGAAAAAAACCAACTACCCATGGATATGGAATGAAAAATATGGAAGACTTCTTGGAGGTAAACAAAATATAATACATAATATCATGACATATTATAACAATAAACGTTTAAATTCTATAATATTTGTCAATTTTAGTATAACCAACATATTAATTAGTTTCGGAGCAAAAACCTTGTGTGACTAGAGTGCATACCTGCAGGTTCTTGCTCTGAAATGTAATAACCTGATAAGTCCATTTTGCTTATATTATCTCCGTAACTAATAATCGGACATAACGGTTTGTTACACCGAAATGTGTAGTTTATTTCCTGATCAGGAAACCACAGTAAAAATACTTTTATGAAAAAGGGACATATTATCAGGTTTTTCACAGAAGGATTCCATACTTTTTAGCTTAGATAGGTATAGCCAGGTACAAATATTTACCATAAGTACCAATTTACACTTATGCAGGGCCGGATTTAGGGGGGGGGGCAAGGGGCCCCGGGCCTCCACAAATTGAGGGCCCCCACTAAATGTTGTTTTTTACATCAAAGTATATTGTATAAAACACAATATAACATTTTCAAAACGGATTTAAATCACAACATGAATAAAAATATTCAATCATTGATATTGTCATAAATTTATAAATAAATGTTATTATTAATATTTAATAACTAATGAATTTATAGAAGTGAGTAGCTAGCTTACAAATGTGAATTTAAAATCGATTATTATGTTATTATTATCTTGTAGACTTGTAGATATTTTAATTAAAAACAGTTATAAATAAACACATATTATAAATTGTATATAGCAAGCCGTCCGCTGTGGACTGTTATAAATAAATGCGTGCTGAATAAGTTCTAAATAAAAACAAATAGGTAGATGGTACACTCAGTTTTCACGCTTCAACCATAAAGTATATTTTGATCGTGATATTTATCCAGGTTAGTAGGTACAATGTATTTTTTATTAAATTAAATTTAGTAATTCGACGATTTTCAATCAAGGGGGCTGCTGTCTGTGTAAAAAAGTGGCATTTAGACCAAAAATCTAGACAAAACTGTAGTAATTTGGTTTGACAGATTTCAATTTTGAAAAAGGATTAAGATTGATTAACGAGATAACCTACTAGGTTATTATCGTGGTGATTTTTAATATTCCGAAAATTGTTAGTGTCACGATTAAAAATATAAATAAAAAATATCGTTTTTTATATTTATTGATAGCACAGCTGGAAAAATAGATTTTCAAAATCTCCTCGATAAAAACCTAGTTATAATATTTTAATAATCTATAATATAATAGTTTAATAACAACTTGTTCCTGCACGTACGATAGTAGTTAAGAGCCGTCACTGTAGGTAGAAAAAAATAGATCGTAAAAACATGTTTTCGTAGTTCCTGCAATAGTACTCAGGCCTCGTAAGTCGTAGAAACATAGTTTTTATACCAAATTAAACACGAGAAGTTTATCTAATAACTGTTGGAATATATTTTTTAAATTTGTTTTCAAATTTTATTTGTGTTTGAAAAATTTGCAAAAATATTAAGTGTCCGTCGAATATAACTGACTGTCCGACCAGGCGGCAGGCGATAAATCATTGTTTTTTCATAACCAAAATTCTGGTTATTAAATATATTATGTACTTAATCGAAAAAAATATCTATTTCTATAGGTGGGCCCAGGGCCCCCACATTCCTAAATCCGGCCCTGCACTTATGAGTTTGTAAATTTAAGTATTAGTAACAGTTGAAATTCACTAACTTTTAACTTGCACATTTAATTATTAATCTGTAACTAAGCCTGTACCAGCGCCAAGGACAGCGACCAGGCCACCACCACCAACCACCTTCAACCCGCCGCCACCGCCGACACCAAGGGCCACCGCATCAACACCACCTGCAGCCACGCTGAACTCCCGCCAACGCCGGAACCTGAAGCGGATGAGGGACTTCAAGGCCAAAATACAACAGGCGTCCCAGCAACACCGCCTAGAAAAACCGGCACCACCCGTAACCCCAGCCCCAGAGACGGTGCTATCACAGCCAGGGCCTGCGACCCCGCACAACACCGTGATCACGGTGCCGGAAGTGACACACACTTCCGGAGCGACAGGAACCACGGAACACCTAGTGGCCGCCACCCCGCCGCCACCGCCGACACCAAGGGCCACCGCATCAACACCACCTGCAGCCACGCTGAACTCCCGCCAACGCCGGAACCTGAAGCGGATGAGGGACTTCAAGGCCAAAATACAACAGGCGTCCCAGCAACACCGCCTAGAAAAACCGGCACCACCCGTAACCCAAGCCCCAGAGACGGTGCTATCACAGCCAGGGCCTGCGACCCCGCACCTCACCGTGGTCACGGTGCCGGAAGTGACACACACTTCCGGAGCGACCGGAACCACGGAACACCTAGTGGCCGCCACCCCTCAAACCGCCAATCGACGACGGACGACGCCGGCGCGCGACACGCGCGCCAGGAACCGTCGGCCGGCCGTCCGGTGAACCGGTCTGTCAAGACACTCGCTCTCGTTCTCCTGACATCGACCTGGACACACCTCAGGAATCCACACACGTCCCGTGTAATCGGAACCGTTGTATTCTCAATACCATATTGAATGTTCGTTTATTTCGTTATTACAATAAAGTCAAAAGTCACACCAGTGCGCCGTTTTGTTGTTTTTCTCTTTTTTTTATACTTTCACGGCAAACAAAATTTTCATGATCTCCACGAACATATTATTATAATATAAGCATTATAATAAAATATTTAAATATATACGCACATTTTACTATGCCCCTAAAAAGTTTCAGGTCGAGCCTGGGCTTGACCGGCTCGCCCCGTGGGCACGCCTATGGTCAAAATTAAAATTCCCAATAGTTTTCTAATGCGTCGGGAAAAACAACATAAAAATTAAGGAAAAACGGGAATTTTTACGCAAAATCGGTTTTCCACAAAGTCGATTTTCATTTTTGGTGTAACTCTAAAACAAATGAACGTATACACATGACATTTTCACTGGTCGTTTATATTTGCATTTCCTATACAGTTTTCAAAATATTTTGATTTGTTTTGAACTGTTTAGGAACATTTTCTGTTTCCAATTTATTTTATTAGACTTTTTTTCTATGAATGTCAATAAAACTTTATTTGTTGGGTAAAAAAGCAGGAAAATGTAATATAAGGAGTCAAGGCTCCTACTATATTGCTACAATGACATTTGAAAAATATTAAAAATCCTTAGTCACAGTTTTTTTTTATAAGCATTTAAAGTTAAAAACTTGACAAAATACGGAAAAATCACAAAAATTAGCAAATTTTTTTGAATTGAGAATTTATAAAAATTTTCTTTTTAAATCTAAGATTTGAAAATATAATAAAAGATTCCTCATAAGTTTGTGTATCTTTATTTAAAAAAAAAATGTCTACAAGCAAATCAAATTAAATTTTTATGAGCGTTTGAAATTCATATTTTTACAATATTGGATATTCACTTGATTTCTCGTGTAACGGTTTTGTAATTTTATTATTATTCAAAAACGAATAACTATAAATATATGAAAATTTTACTGAATGTACTGAATTTTCTATACGCCATGAAATGTTGAAAATATTTTGACACTTTTTGGGCTGTTTACGGACATTGTCAGTTTTCAATTTTTTTAGTTTTATTTTCTATAAATATCAATAAAGTTTTATTTGTTGGGTAAAAAAGCGTGAAAATTTAATTCAAGGCTCCTGATATATTGTTACAATAGCAGTTGAAAAATATTACAAATACATGGGCATAATTTTTTTTTATAAGCATTTAAAGTTTGAATTTTGACAAAATTTATCAAATTTAAAATTTAATAATTATTCTGTAGTTAAAAATTTATAAAATGTTGAACTTTTATAGCTAAAGATTGAAAATTTAAAACAAGGTTCCACTTAAATAGTTAAATATATAAATTACTTTATTCACAATAATATCATCAAATATACTTAGTAATATCATAGGCCGACCGACCGTTTTCGCTCAGAACTTTTTTCGGATAAAATTATATTATAATACCATTGAATTCAAATTTAACACCATCCATTACAGTGACCCACTGGCCACTTGTAACTTACTGTACACTGCAGTGTACAGCAGAGCGACTTCCACTTACCCACTTTTTTTGAGATGTTTACTTACGACTTATTATATTTTTATAAATTATATTATTGGTACCTATCGATAAAGACATAAAGTTATGCAATAACATTTTGGCAGGTTTAAATTACAATATGCCATCTAAATGCATTGTATTAAATTATCAACCAAGTGATTTTTACTGATTTTAATACCTACCTATACTTAATGAACTGTATTTATTTTATTTTTTATTAACTTAAGTCATTAATTGAAGTTAAGTTAAATTAGGTAATGGTATTTGTTGTTTAATTTAATCTTTATTCACGTATTAAAAATGTATATTAGTTTATTTGAAGATAACATACATAGTTAACTTACTTACCTAACCGAATTGAAAATTAATATCATAATTTATACTTTCCCCCAAGGCCCCGGCCTTATGTTATACCTATTATATATATATATATATTATATAAGAGCGTGTATACAAAAATCGTTCTATGAATAGTATAAAAATCAAAGTTATTATAACGTACCTATACCTAATTAATATTTATATGACATACCTATACATATAGTGTACTACGCCCTGCGTGGTGTAAAGGAATTCCCTGTGGAAAACTTCTCCCTACACAACGCATTTTGCGGACGGGCGACGACGACGATCTATACAAAGGCCACGTTGTGGGCGCTTTGTGCCTTTTCTCGGATATATTATATATAATATAAATCCGAAGCCAAATCCCTTTACCACACAGAGAAATACCACATCAAAGACCACGCTTGTCCTTTATATAAATGTGTGTGTGTGTGTGTGTGTGTGTGTGTGTGTGTGTCCTACGATAACGCCACCGACACGCACTTAAGTCTGCAGAAAACCGTGCCCGTCTCTTTGTAGTTTTCCCGGCTTATCGTCGTCGATCATCCGTTCGACCGGGATTTCCGTCGTCGCCAGCGAGATGGACCCGATGTGACCGCAGAGCCTCGGATTGCATGGCCTTGCACGGTGATCTAGGTTTACTCTCTTCCTGCCACCATAATAACCGTATACCGCCCACAGGTTTGTTATCTTTTGCGAATTCATGACGAAGTGTCCGTCGCTGTAAATCGTATAATATTTTTAATTCCGTACAAAATATTATATGTTTATAGATAGGTACACCGTAAACGATAGTCGAACTTACGGTAATAGTTTTAGTCTCTTCGTCTAACCACTGCTAGTTTAATAATAATTATTATTGTATAGCTGTTTACCCATACTTTATCGGCGTGCGCATAGGACTGAGTTAATAAATCATAATACGCGTTTAAAGTTTGGAGTAGAGTAGACCAACATGTTACGGAGTACCTGCACTGCAGTGCACTGCATCATTCTGACACGCCACATCGCTTATCGACACTTTGATTAGGTAGTGATACCACGGCTTTAGATCAACTAGTTAAGTTTATAAAAAAAAAATTGAAAGGGAGGTGTAGGCACCCGCATGCAAATGCATTTTAGAGAAAAAAAATGTAGAAAAAATTATACAGTAGGAACACACATTAAAGAGTTCAAACTAAAATGTCCAGAATCTTAAACAGAAAAAAGGTGGGCAAGTGGGTGTCGCTCTGCTGTACAGTAGGTTACACTGTATAATGGATGGTATTAAATTTGAATTCAATGATATAATATCATTGTATAAGAAAAACGATTCTGAGCGGTGACGGTATGTCAGTCTAGGTATAAGACATATTATATACATATCTATGATAATAAACAAAAAATTGACCTACAATAGGTACCTATAATAAATTCCAAATTAATCATATCACAATATCCATTAGGTACTTATAACGCGCTATACATCAACAAATACCGTGATACTATCATAGATATATAATAGTACACTTTAGAAGTTTCAAGTACCCACGAATAATATTATTCAATTACAACAAAATAACTAAAATCGTAATTCTTGGTTTAAATATGAAATTTTGTCTAAATTTGAAATTAAAATGTCTGTAAAAAATAAGTGTGTTTATATATTTTTTAGATTTTTTGGTTACAGTATGAATTATTTAAGAGAATCTTTGTTTTAAATTTTCAACTCTTAGTTATAAAAACTGAACATTTTATAATTTTTTAATTCCAACGATTGATAATTTTCGAGATTTTGATAAATTTTGTCAAAATTCCAACTTTAAATGCTTATAAAAAAAAAATCATGCATATGTATTTTTAATATTTTTCAACTGATATTATAACAATATATCAGGAGCCTTGTATTAGTTTTTTACACTTTTTGGCCCAACAGATAAAACTTTATTGATATTTATAGAAAAAAAAACTAAAAAAATTGAAAGCTGTAAATGTCCATAAACAGCTCAAAAAGAGTCAAAATATTTTCAAAATTGTATGGTGTATAGAAAATGCTAATTTAAACATTCAGTGAAATTTTTATGTATCTACAGTTGTTCGTTTTTGAATTGCAACAAAATAAAGAAATCGCTACATGAGTAATCGAGTGAATATCCAATATTGTAAAAATTTGAATTTCAGACGCTCATAAAAATTTAACTTGACTGTCCGGTAGAGATTTTTTTATTGATAAAGGTAGATAATCTTATAAGGAATCTTGTGTTTCATTTTCAAATCTTAGATTTAAAAAGAAAAATTTTTACGAATTCTTAACTCAAAATAATTTGCTAATTTTCGTGATTTTTCCATATTTTGTTAATTTTTGAACTTTAAATGCTTATAAAAAAAAATTGTGACTAAGGATTTTTAATATTTTTCATCTGCCTTTGAAACAACATATTAGGAGCCTTCTATTAAATTTTCAAGCTTTCGCAACCAACAAATAAAATTTTATTGATATTTTTAGAAAAAAAACTAAAAAAAAATGGAAAATGAAAATGTCCCTAAACAGTTCAAAATAAATCAAAATATTTTTAAAATGTTATCGTGTATAGAAAATGCAATTATAAACAACTAGTTAAAATTTCATGTATATACGTTCATTTGTTTTAGAGTTACACCAATAACCAAAATCGATTTTTTGGAAAACCAATTTTTGGGTAAAAATTCCCGTTTTTCCTTAATTTTTATGTTGTTTTTCCCGGCGCTTGTGAAAACTACTGGGAAATTTATACTTTGGACCCCCCAAAGTACCAACTAGATTCACTTTCCTATCAGAAAAGCTACTGATGAAGAAAATCCAAGCACTTTCACTGTCCTAAAACGTGATGACAGACACAAAAATATAAAAAAAAATATAAAAACATACATCATTGTAAAACCAATACATTCATCGCTCCGCTCAGAATCTAAAACTATTCAAAATAATTAGCTCATTAAAGAATAATAATACAAGTGGCACCAGGTTATCAATGTTTAAAAAATCCCTACAAAATGAATTAACAACAGTTAAATGAATTTTGAAAATGATAAAAAAATATTTATAAAAAATTAAATACTTTTCGAGATAATGATGTGTGATAATCTTTATACTGTTAAAATAATCACTCTGTATATAGGTACATGTATTTAGTAAATAATCAATGATTCATTATCATGTATAAATGTATAATGACTAATAGGATTAGAGGATGCTTATGACCTTAAAAATTCTAGAAAAAATGCATGAAAGTATGCACAACAAATATTAAAGTGCGCCTTTAAAACAATCAATATCGTAAAATATTATATTATTCTAGCGGCTACTGTTGTTGTTTCACTTTTGATTTAATTCTAAAAACTAAAACAAAATAATGTCACTGTTGTAGATTGAAACAATTTTAATATTATTGTTGGCTAATTTTTTACATAGGTGACACGACCTCAGTACCTATACCTAGGAATCCCGGAATAAAAATCCCCCGGAAAAAAAATCCCCGGAAAAAAAACCCCCGACGAACAACCCCGGAAAAAAAATCCCCGACCCTAGGAAAAAATATCCCCAGACTACAATATTACTCACAACCTCATGCAAATGGTTGAACAAATATTTTTTTAACGTTAATTAGTACCTATCTATAATTACGTGTTCTTCTTTTGTCAATTCTAATAATATTGCATGTGGTACATTACTCACAGACTCAGCAAATATTTGACTCGGTGTTGCATGTGATATTTGTGCTTTTTCCTTAATTGTATTTTGTAATTTTAAAGCAGCGACTGCATTTTTATTAGAATCATGTACATGGTCATGATCAAGACCAACAAATATTGGATTTTCAATATTTAAACTAGTCTTAAGTACTCTCGGACATTTTAAAGAGCTAAATTTAGAACATCGCCAACGTAAAAAATTTGAACACTCTTTTTGAAAATGATAAATAAAGCCGATGTGCGTAATTTTAGGTTTTTTACCATTAGTTTTTAAAATTTCCAGCGTTTCCATAGCGTTGTCGTTTTGTGTATCGTGTACTAAATTTGTAGCTAAATTTGTAGCTAAGATAACGAGTATCCAAATTATGTTCGTGAGCCCATTACAGATTAGATAGGTAGGTGTAACCTTTTACCTTATAATATATATTATCAAAGGTACATACTAAACCGCTTATCGTCAAAATGTCACAGAAAACGCAATATTTTATTTCGGGGATTCAATTTTTACAGAATTATACCAACATATTAAAATATATAGCTACCTATATTTTGTATAATATTTTTGTATACTATGTTTTTAACTGTATTATTAATTGACGTATCGATCATTCTAAATATTTTTATAATTTTTTTAACAATATAATATAATATATTATATTATAATAGAATATAATATACGTATTTGTCATTAAATATTAATTATAGATACTAATTAACGTTCAAAATATATTTGTTCAACCATTTGCATGTGATTGTGAGGAATATTGTAGCTGGGGATTTTTTTTTCCCAGGGTCGGGGATTTTTTTTCCGGGGGATTTTTATTCCGATTACCATACCTAGCTTCTACTTACTCTCTAAACTGATTTGAACTTTTGTGACGTTTTGGAACAATAAGAATTTTTATCGGTTGTCAAATAATACAAATTGTTTTAAGTTGAACAGTTTCATTCATCATCTACAGAATTAATGGATGCATATTGAAATTTATAAATTCATTTGATTTTTAATTTTTTAATGTTTTCCATCGAAATTTCTGGTTATTCACGACTTTTTATAATCATATGCATTTGTCTGGGTAGTAACCCCTAAATATTCAAAAATATGGTAAATAAAATTTAACGTACCTATATCTGATTCTGTCATACAAAACGAATTTATAACTTGGTCGGCGGTGGCAATATGTGTAACTAAAACTACTAGTTCGCTATTGTTGAGTAAGCAGGTATACATTGTACCTATATCATATTATGTATAATTAGTTAAGCAAATAATAGATAGGTACATGCTCTACTATTAGTACAAATGTACAATTTGGTCCTATTACAATTAGATGGCATCGTAATATTAATATCGGTGGAGAACGATTCCGCAAATTTTGCGGAATCGTGTTGATTTTAATAGCCGCTGATATACATACACGACTCCGCAAATTTAATATATATATACACGATTCCGCATAATTTTAAATGCAACGTTGCCATTCCGAAAACAAAATCTATATTATTGTAAGGGCCGAGCCACACTTGAGTGATTTTGGCGCGCGGTACGCATACGACGGTGGTACCCGGTACGCGCGTTAAAATGACGCGTGGTACTCGGGCGATACACGCGCGTTTTCACAGCGCGTCAAAATCGCTCCAGTGTACTCGTATAATGAAATAACGATCAGTCTTGTAAAAAATACTTTTGAAAAAGTATTAAGATACTCATACTAGTATTTGAATAAAAAAGAATTAAAAATACTTTTAAAATACTATTATAAAAATGTTTTTTACGAATACTCACTAAGTTCCAATACTATTTCAATACAGAAACTATATAATATTTAATGTGGTATTTTTTAAATTTTAAACATTGTTATTACCTATTTTTACTATAAAAAAACATAATATTAGTTTAATTTTAGTTTTCAACGAAAACAATATTATTTTTATTGATGTAAATTGTTTTTGAAAAATAATTAATTAAAATTAATAAAACGGACTTTATGGTATTTTAATACAATGGCGATGGCATGAACGTTATCTTATCGCATAATAATATAGCTGAAACAAACTCATATACGTTTAATTCGTTATGTTGCAGCGGAAACTTTGGCCAAAAAAACTTATTTTAACAAGTAACAACGGAAATTTCGTTATATCGTTATTTCATTATACGAGTACACTGGAGCGATTTTGACACGCTGTGAAAACGCGCGTGTATCGCCCGAGTACCACGCGTCATTTTAACGCGCGTACCGGGTACCACCGTCGTATGCGTACCGCGGGCCAAAATCACTCAAGTGTGGCTCGGCCCTTACAATAATATAGATTTTGTTTTCGGAATGGCAACGTTGTATTTAAAATTATGCGGAATCGGGTATATATATATTAAATTTGCGAAGTCGTGTATGTATATCAGCGGCTATTAAAATCAACACGATTCCGCAAAGTTTGCGGAATCGTGTTATACCCATTAATATAGTCTGCTGCACCTATGACATTATTTATTATTATTTATTACTGCAATAAAAAGATATGATATATAATTCTGAAGTCGACATTTTGATCCAACACTTACCTACTCGGCAATTTGTATATTTTTATAGGTTTCGAGAACTCAGAGGTATCATCAATTAGTATTTGCATCAGTCTTGCTTAATAGGTAGGTACCCATTCTGAGTATATTATGTGTATTTCTTTTGTGATGTCGGCACATTGAGTATGAACATCACATTTTTAACACGACTATCGATTTAAACAGGCATTATGGGTGCCAAACTGCCAACAGCAATAATATTATAAATTATAATCAGTGGTCGAATGTTTAAACGATTTTGTTTACCAAAACAGGGTGCTGTAACAGTGTACCAGTGTACCGCGGTACCTATATTTATAATGACTAAATGACTAATGTCTTATGTCTTAATGTATTATTAAATTAGTTCGTCTAGTTCCAAAAGGGGGAAAGATTTATTCAAGTACACGAAGGTAGGCAAGAGTGAAATATTTGAAATACCTAAGACCTAAGGGGGGCTTCATCTCCAGTCCGACTGCCTTCAAGGGCGTACATAAGGGGATGATGTGGAGTTTCTAATCTTTTTAGGGTATTATAAATACATATACATATATTATTACATACATGATGAAATAAAGATACCTGAAAACGACTTTTTTCGTTCATAAATTATAGCTTTGTTTTTTTTTCACAGATTCGAACCCTCAATACTGTGTATACCACTATACCATACCCGTAGGGAGGGAGGGTGAAAAGTTCAACCAAAAATTCGTTCCGATTACGACCTTGTATACGCCACTTGTTGTCTTGAAGTTTGAACAAATTGATGACTGGATGAGGTAGACCTAACAGGTCAATTGCTTCAGATAGGTTTATTGGAATGTTTTTCTTCTACACCGTCAACTTGTTCAGTACCTATTTCGGTTACATGTTTGACAATTAATATTTTAATACCACTCTATACGAAGTTCACTTTGTCAGAATGTTATTATAATATATCATTTGTTTGCTTTAATAATATTAGTATAATATCTGAATGATAGAATAATTTGACGCAATTTATTAATCCGATCGAGGATTAATAAACCTTAATTCACATTATCCATTTATCCACCTAGTATTAAAAGCTTTAATCGAATATTAATATTAAACCTTGAAGCTCCATCCCTATGTTACATAAATATACCGGTCCAATACGATTTTGGTGTACTTATAGTCTTATAACCTAACCCACACCGGCTATACCTAATGTTATCTACTATATATCTAATTTATTACTTATATATTACTCTAATATAATACTTTATTTTTATTGTTAAACAAAATAAATCATTATCCTGTGAACCTAGCTGCCTTATGTTTGTCAGTCACAAGTGTCAATAATTTAAAGTTATATACATATTGTTCCTTTTAAGTATTGATGAATGAATACAAGCTAAATATTTAGTTGAACAATGATATTATATGTCACTCTAAATTACGGACCAAGTGATAAATGTTTACAAGTTCGCTATACTATGTTTTATACTAATCAATATAAGCCATATCAACAATGTGTCAGGATTGCATTCTATTCACTGCATACAGAAGACCTTCATACTGAATTAACAGGTTATATTTTTTGTAATTTTTGTTCTTAAACTATATATGACTATAAACTGTACACAAAAATATTTTTTGCATTAACACAAGAGGTACAAAAATAGTAATAGGTAAGCAATTCGCAGGGGTAATAGGTTCAGTACTAAATAATAACTATGTCCATACAACTGTTAAAATTATGGTTACATCAAAATAATAAAGATTACCTTACTAGATAATATTTTGAAACAAAAATATCCTAAAAATTCAAAGATGAAGGAACACAACTTGATTTCTCAGAATGTTCAAGTAGGTACTCTAATGGAGCATATAAATATAATACAACACATAAATTAAAAGTCTGTAGTATGGACCAAAATATATTTTAACGAATAACACAATAGAGCTTTAATCATACAAGTTGATCGTAGGTAATTGGTGCATTAAGTCAATAACATTAGTGATTGTTTAAAAGAATACTTTTGTAGTAGGTACAAATTCATTAAATTATTAACGACTACCATAATAATATAACATAACATACAATACTGAAGACTCAGTTAACTAAATACATTTTTGGTAGTCAATTTAAATATTTACTATCTTACAAATACTTTCACATTGAATGGTATAAGTACATAATTTAGTTGAGTTTGCTATGCAAACATTATGTGAATTAAATAAACAAAGTCTATAGTAGATATTAAAAACTTTAAGTGTGATGATAAAGCTGTTCAAGAAATTAAAAACAAAATATAATTGTTTTTAAAATCAATAATATTTATGTAAGTTAAACAAAAACCTTATATTTTAAGCTGTAAATCAAATACTATGATACAATTAAAAACTAATAACATTTTTATTAAATAATAAATTAACAATTTTTAATACAATGTATGTATAAGTTTGAATTATACATAAAATGTTAGCATATTATGTTTTAAGGATACAGAGAATTTGATTTATAACATATTAACATCTACCACATACTTGGATATTATGTTGACATTTATTTATTTAAGTTTTATTCACTAATTTTAAACTGCAAATGACCGGTCAAGAAGCGCTTTTAGTTCTCTTAAATGTTGCATTTTACTTCCAGTTGCAGATGATGCCGCTGTTGGTCGCCCAGCATAACTATAAAAACAAATACAATAATTTTCAGTCATATGTAACAAATAAACCCATTTTCAAATATGTTTCATAAGTCATCTGTTTTTAATAAAAACAAAAATTAAACAACTCCGTGTCGGATTGGATAATCAATCAAATCATGGTGATTTGTTTATATTCAAAGTTAAAACACTAGTTCGTGATTATATAAGATTATTATATCATCTATGCAGCCATTATACTCATTACCTTGTTAAATTTGTGTATATATATAATATATGTTATATTTATTCAGTTATAACTTGTAAGTTGTAAGTACCCTATTTATGTTCATATTTTTAATTTTTAAACGTGGTAACATTGTTTTAGTTTTTCCTTACGTTATTAAAAACACCCATATTCTTAATTTCCTATTCTAACTTTAAATTCTGAGCAGAGCAATGAATGTATTGATTTTACAACAATGTCTTTTGTGTGTTAGTGTACCGTGTATGTATGAATATAAAAGTATAAAGTTTATTAAAGTATATTAAAGTAGAAAAAAATAATTTGATCTTCAACTTTAAGTTTGGTTTCTGATAGCGAATTAGATCTAGTTGGTATTTTTAGGAGGTCAAAATTGAAAATTCTCAGTACTTTTCATAATAATTAGGAATTTAAAAAAACTACAGATTTAAAGTATGTATGCACAATTTTTTTTTTTATAAATGTTTAAAGTTACCATTTTGTCAAAATCATGAACATTTGAAAATTATTTTGTATTTAACAATTTATAAAATGTTCAATATTTATAGATAAGGCTTAAAAATCGAATAGAAGGACTTAAGTAGTTCATATTAAAATCAAAAAATTTATTATATTCCAATTTTTATTTTTTTTGAAATAAATTTTTTTAAATTTGACAAAATTGGATAATTAAACAAAAAATAACTATTACAAATAATATGAAAATGTTTATAGTTTCAATGAATTTCACCAAATTGTATACTTCAAATACTTATAAAAAAATGTTGGATATGTGTTTTTGATATTTTTTAACTACTGTTGAACTACTTATGAGTAACCTTGTATTCATATTTCATTGTTCAAATTTTTAGACCTTGAAACAAAAATGTATTAATAATATTTTTTAATAAAACTAAAAAAGTCAAACATTTCAAACATCTTTAAATCGCTTTAAAAGAGCCAAAATATTTTATCACATCTAGAAAACGATAATATAATTAATATTTGTTTAACATTTAAAGTACCACGGCTATTGCAAATTATTAAAAAAAATCTATTTTTTCAAAAACTGGTGCAACAAAAATATTCCCATATGCCGATGTTTTTTTCGAATAGTTCTAAATAGTACTGAGAATTGTATTCATTTTAAATAACTGATTAGATGAAATTTGCTACCAGAAACCACCGTCAATGTTAAATCATTTTTTCTGTTCTAAAATGTAATGACTGACAAAAAAAAAAACATTTATCATTCAATCATTCTAAGACCAATACATTTCTCGCTCACTCAGAATCTAAAATATATTTATTTATTGTTATCTCACCTAATACTTCGAGTTGGATTTTTCTGGTCGGATAAAGTTGTTTTTGTAATACCGTCATTTGAACGTGAAGAAAATATTCGTGAAAAAAATCCGTCAGAATTTTTAATAGATGGCCTGCACAAATAACAAAATACTATTGTTTTTTCCTATGCATGTTTTCTCTAAATGTATTTTATTTAATTATAATTAAGGGAAAGACAGGCAATTAATATACAAAAGTTTATATAATTAGTCATAAACTAATTGAAAAGTCCTCCTTTTAAGGTAAAAATATTTATTTTTATACTGTTTTTGTTACTAATTAAATTGTATTCATATATAACATTTTTATAATATAAAAACCAATATATAGGACTTTTAAACCTGGCCATTCAATTATTACCAAACATATTATGTTTATATTTGTCTATCTATTGTAGTTACTATTTTACCTCCTTAATTAGTTATTTATATATTTATTCCAATATCACTCTTGTATTCCCAAATAAATGTTTAAGTTAACTCACCCAATAGTTTTTGTGTTGTTCAATACTGTGTGAAACCTTGGTTGTACGTAAGGCCATGGTCCTTGATTTTTATGTTCTTCCTGTGACCATAAAATATCTGCGTTAGGGTACTTGGCGCATTCTTGTTTGACTAAATCAAATGGGAATGGTGATATTTGTTCAACTCGAGCAATAGCTACAGTGTCCACGAGATTATGTTCTTCTCTTGCTTTGGTTAAGTCATAGTATACTCTTCCAGAACAGAATATTAATCGTTTAACATTGCACGCATTATCAGCTGCAGTACCCTTTTCTGGGATTATTCTCAAAAATTCTGTATCTTCATTCATTTCATCAAAACTAGACTTAGCTTCAGGATGACGTAACAAAGATTTAGGAGTCATCATAATTAGTGGTTTACGGAAAGGTAGGGCAATTTGACGACGAAGTATGTGGAAATAATTAGCTGGTGTAGAACAATTTGCAACCTTAAAAATGAAAAAAAAGTATGTTTATTAAAAATAAATTTATATGTATAATTCAAAAAACTAATTCTTACAATCCAGTTAATATCATGCAATTGACGAACAGCAAATTCATCGCTTTCTGGAGGGAAATAATCTGGATCGTCAGAACTCATTTGCAAGAATCGTTCAAGTCTGGCTGATGAATGTTCCGGTCCCTGAAAGTTTCAAATATATTTATATTTCATCTAAATGTATACATATATCTGAATAATGATAATAATGTATTAATGTATTACCATTCCTTCAAGACCGTGGGGCAGTAACATAACAAGACCAGACTGTCTAACCCATTTAGCTTGTCCAGAGCCAATAAACTGATCAATTATACATTGAGCAGTGTTGTTGAAGTCACCAAACTGAGCTTCCCAGCACACCAAAGCATTTGGATTGGTCATCGAAAATCCCAATTCAAAACCTTGAATGGAAAAATAACATATTTTAATTAAATTTAATCAATAATAATTTTATATCATACACAAAATAAGATGAAATATCAAATTATAAAAGATAAGAGTAATATTTAATGTATGCATTGTATATATTTATTATGATAAAACATAAATAGTTACCTAGAACAGCAAATTCAGACAAAGAACTATTGCATACAGTATATGATGCCTGGTCAGGATATAAATTGCACAGAGGTCTGTATGTAGCTTTGTCAACAAGTTGGTGATGAAGTACATGATGCCGATGAGAAAATGTGCCTCTTTCAACATCTTGTCCACTTAATCGAACGTGAACTCCATCTTTCAATAGAGATCCAAAAGCCATTGCCTCTCCCAATGCCCAGTCAACAGTACGATTTTCAACCATTTGCATGCGAGCCTTTAAAATTCTTTCAATACCTAAAATTAAATATTATATATATTTAAAAATATAATTTGCACTAATATGTTGTATTTTATGTTTGTATTTTAGTTTAACCTTAAATTAATAATTCAATCCGTTTATGGTCCCTGTATAAAATATATTTTTTAATACAATTAACTAATTCTAAAAATACCTCCTGGAAAAAGCATACAATACCACAATTGAATAATTACTAATTATTAAGTACCTCTGTGTATAACAAATTCAGCAGCATTTGGAGGAGGTGATGAAAATCGTTTACCAATATGTATTAAAGTTTCTTCTTTTACTCCAGACTTTGATGCTTTTAATGGATCTTTTCCTTCAAAGAATCCGGACCATGGGGAATCTAACCAATCTTTATATTTAATAGTAGTTTCTTTTCGTGAAGCTGTGTAAGCTTCTTCACAAATTTTATCGTATTTATCCCAAACGTCCTAAAGAATAAAGTGAAATTATATTAAATTTATAAATTAAATAATTTGATACCTACATATATTTTATTAGTTTAATTTTATATTTTACACTGTTTATAACTCATTACCTTAACTTCTTCTTTTGTAACTACTTTTTCTTCAATTAATTTGTCTGCATACTTGTCCAAAACAGGTGGAGTTTTTTTTATTACTTTGTACATGATAGGTTGTGTGAACATGGGTTCATCTATTTCATTATGACCGTATCTTCTGTAACTTACCTTTAATTTAAATATAGAAATTAAATAAGAACACAAATATTTATTTATTTTTAAATCATTACAAGGTCAATGACAACATCTTTATGGAAAACATTTCTCCATTCAGCAGCAATATTGCAAACATGCATGACTGCTTCGGGGTCATCAGAGTTGACATGGAAAATTGGAGCATTTACAACTCTAGCAACATCTATAATAAACAATATTATATTTTATTCATAACATACTTATATAATTTTTAAATACAATTTTAAACATGCACATGGTAGGTGCATAATATTATAATTCATAAAATAAATAATATGTAAGTACCTAAAGTAGTCCCCACTTGGTATTAAATAATTTATTTTATTGTGTAATAATATATGAATATAAATTAATTTTATCGTGTACATATATTATTGTTTCTTTACATTTATGTAATAATATATTTTTTACTGTTTGAAAACATTACCTGTACAATATGGTGATGATCGTGAATGTCGAGGATCAGTAGTGAAACCAATTTGATTATTGACAACAATGTGAATTGTACCATGAGTAGTATAATCAGGAAGATCAGATAAATGGAATGTTTCATACACAACACCTTGACCACAAAACGCTGCATCTCCATGAAGTAAAAGAGACATAACCTAAAATAAAAATATAAAGTTTTACTAAATACAATAGAACTATAAAATGTTATTAAAAATTGGTAAAGATAAACACATTTATATTCAAATTTAAATTTTGATTAGCCTAAATTAAAAATATGATAGTAAAATTTATATGTAAAACTTCATCCACTCACACTCACAAGAAGTTTTTATTTCTTTATTAATAGTTAAGTTAATAATTTTTTTAAACAAAAATAATGTGTTCTATTCACCTATTTGTATTCTGATTTCTGACATTATAATTTAATTAGAATACTAACTTTTTTTCCTTCACCATCTCCTCTATAGAACTGTTCAGCTCTAGTTTTTCCTTGTACCACTGGATCTACAGCTTCTAAATGTGATGGATTAGCCACAACAGCTAGACGTACATTCTTATTTGTCGCTCGATTCAAACGTTCTATGTACGTACCCAAATGATACTTAACATCTCCTGATCCCTAAAATTAATGTGCATTCAAAACAATTCAATTTTTATGTACTCTGTAATTATTTCTTATACAAGATTAAACTATAAGTTAATTATTAAATTACATCATCTTCAGCTTCCAAAGCAGCAAATTGCGTAAATATTTGACTTAAAGGTTTACGACAAATATTTGCTAAAACATTTAATCTTCCACGATGAGGCATACCCATAATAACTGATTCTACACCATAATCAGTAGACTTATCTATAACTTGTTTCATGGCTGGTATTAAAATTTCACACCCTTCTAAGCCAAACCGTTTTTCGCTCGACCATTTACGAGCCAAGAAAGATTCAAATCTAATACAAACAAAACCCAAACATTTCATACATTAAAAAAAATAAATTATTATAACTTATAAGGAATGAAGTTGGACCATGTTAAACTAATTAGAAATATCGAACATTTTAATTAGCTTTTATTTTATCTAGTAAATAAATTGATTTTTTACCCTGTGGCTCGAGTAAGTCTGGCTAATATAAGCCTTTTTTGTTCTTTTTCCATTTCCATTATGCCAGGTGTTTCCATACGTTGTCTAATCCAATTACATTGTTCCAATGAATTAATAAACATGAATTCAACACCAATTGAACGACAATATGTATTTTCTAAACGGTTCAAAATTTCTTTTAATGGTAATGCATTTTCTTTGCCACCAATAAATGTTGTAGATGGTAGTTTGAATACACGTTCCATATCAGCTTCCTCTGTTATGAATAAAATAAAGAAGTTGTATTAACTCAAATAAATAACAGTTAAAATAATAAGTGTAATAATTAGAGCCCGGAATCAAATTCATTTGCATATTTGTACTAAGTGTTTGTATCACATTTTATAATGTATAACATAATGCATATAATTGCACATTTAGCCACTTTTTAAATGTATATAAATCCGGGTTCTAGTAATCATGAAAAAAATGGAAAAATACATTATCTTTTAAGTGTAGGTGCACCTAAATAATGAGATTATACATATTCACAAAATTGAATTAAATATTTATGTTAGTTAAAAATCAATCAGACACACACAATATCATCAATAATGTTGAGCATGCATAAATAATAATTAAAGTATATGTATAAATAGCACAAACTTACTACATACCCATTAATTCGGCTACTTTATTCTGTAGGTGTTGAGAATATGTAGTATTATCGGGTGGTTTGCCTACAAATAAACTCTCAGTTTAAAAAAAAACAAGTCCAAAAATCAATAAAAATGTTAATTAAGTTTAAAATAGGAATACTTAATTAGAGAAAAATAATAAATAATTTTTTCTAATAAGTGCTTATAAGTGAAAAGTAAAGGATTAATGTACTAAGTATTAAAATATTAAAACTAAAATAAAATCTAATTGATACAATTTCTACACTAAGTTAAACTGTATTATCAATCTACAATGTTAAACAAATTATTGAAAATTATTTTATTGACTTTTAACAAAACAGATATTTCTACTTTCAAAACTATTTAAATCATAAGTAATTTATTTAAAAGAGTTTGATCTCTTATTATCTTAATAACAAATACATTTTGATTAAGTTTTTCTAAATAATTTACTTTCCTGAGATACATAAAATGTATTATTATAGTTTATTAATTTATATACAGTAATAGGGCCTCAAGTTGTAGTAAACGATGAAATTAAATGGTCTAATACTAACTTGCCATCATAAAGTTGGAGCTAAACTATAAATGTATATGAAAAAGCAAGATTGACAAAACAAGCGACAACAAACAAAAAGCAAATTTTAAGATCATGTTTTTAACAAAGTAAGAAACAACATGGATAATAATTTGTGTTAATAACAAAATGCAGAAATTCAAAAATATAAATAAAATTGTTTGCATTTATATTAGTTACGTAAATAATTTATAGTTAACCCTGTACAGAATAAATACCAGAAATAATTTGAAAATATTGCTTTTCTTTTTATACCAAAATATAATTTGATGAGTATTAATAATTAACCTTCAAGCGGGCGCGCATTTTGCAATTACACACGCGGGCGCGCAACGGTATTAACACCGCACAATTTAGAGCCTCATTTGAATTTATGTTTATGTGAATCTTCGCTAAAATTATAACAACTGCCTTATCTTATGACTAGATAAGAAATTAGAGATTACCTAATGGATAGGTTCGCTGCATGAAACTTATAACGAATGGGCGCGATTATTTTCAAATGTGCGGTGTAAAAACCGTCCGCGCGCCCGTTGAAGGTTAATAAAATGTATCTAAAAAAAGAAAAAATTTACATTTTTTAATTCAATGTTTAAAGTTAGTAATGTATATCTGTCCATTAAATAAGGTATAATCCATAAGTGTATAAGTAGTCTTATAAGTTCAAAAAAATCTGAAGTTAATTTATTAATGTTTATTTTCTTTAAATATCTAAAAATGAATGTAAATCTTACATTTCTAATTTATATAAAATACTATCTAAAAATTGTTTAAAAATCAATCACATGCATGTAATAGAAATTAAGTCATGAATAAATTGAATAAATGTAATTACTAATTAGTTATTATAATAATACTATAATTATTATAGTGTCTAATATAGATTGTATATTGTATTCAGGGCATATACTTTTATCTTTACATAATGCATTACTACATAATACATTACTACAAAATACATTATAACCTCATGCAAATTACGCATTTAAATATTATTATTTATTAATATATAAAAATAAAAATAGCTATAATCTATAGTCACAAAACAATTTTAATAAACAAACACAATATTGCAGTTAAATTTTAGGTGTACAATGCAAACTGTACTACTTACCAAATGGAGGATAGCAACCATATAAAATCTCTTGAGGAAATCTATCATCTTGGTCGACTTTACTTAAATTTAAAGGATCAAGGCGTGCAATATGATGTCCCCGTATCTAATAGGACGACAAACAAAAAAGCACAAACATTTTTATTTAAAACAACATACAATTAATATTAGTAAAAATTAAAAATCATATTAAATTGATACATTTTTAACTAATATTATCAAAGTAACAAATAATTAGTAAATTATCAAAATATATGAACAGTAGACAAATCCAAAACAAATAAATAGTTTAAGTACACAATTTAATGTACCTAACTAAATTGTGCACACTGTACGCCTATAATAAGGTATAATAATTCAACAAGAAAATTTTTTATTGTTTTGTACTAAAATTACAATGGAATAATTAAGGATTTTTAATCTGATTATAATATAGTTTGAATAAAATTTCAATTACAAAAACTTTTTAAATAATTGTAAACTATATTATTGTAAAACACACTAATTTAATAAATATTATATTGATCAAGTTCAATATAGAAATGAATCTATACAAAAATAATTTTAACATCTATAAAATAGATCAATATATTATAATTATAAAAAATTAGAATATATGAAAAACCCGAAATTAGTTTAAGAGATAGTCATAAGGTTTAATACAAGTATACAACCAACTGATTTTTTGAAATTAAAATTAAATTATTGTAAATAAAACTTATTTCACATGTTTTTAATTATGTGATTGTAATTTACCATATATTTTTATTATTCTTTGGATATTTAATTCTTAATTTTTGTGCGATAGTGTTAATATATATAAAAAAAGTAGATATAATATATAATAATTTCATATATACATAGACCTTGGTTTATTAAACCATTTATTAATAATTTGTATCCGTTAGGTTACAGTCTAGTCTCATATCAAGAAATAAATTAACTTGTTTTTTTAGAAATATTTAAAAATGAATACAAGATTTATTACATGTATAGAAATTAGCATAATGTGTGTGTTTATGTATTATTTGTATTGTATTATGAAATTGATCAAAATTAATAATATTTTTAGTATTAATAATCAATAATTCGGTTACTTATGGTTAAGAGAAAAATTCAATTTAGACATGCACACACCAGAAACTAGTATTGATAACATAAAAACAAAACTGTTTAAAAATACCTTTAATTTCTATTTACATTTTTAGCCCAATCTTACCAATTGAATGTTGTCTTAGAACAACATCATGAGGTCTACCTTTTTTGCGAGCATTTACCAAATCTGCATTTGTAAATCCAAGGGGATCAATTTGAGATACAAAATGACCTCGAACCTATAGTGTATAGAACTTAGGTAATATATTCCTTATTTAAAATGTCTAGTTTATCCAAACAAATAATATTACAATCAGTTAAGACATAAATTTGAAAAATATTAGTCAACATTTTCAAAGTTAAAAAATTCAATAATGTAATTTTAAAATAATTATCAACAATATCAAATATAATATCAATTGGTTTTCATTAAATATTGAAATATTTTAATTAACTGCACATTCAAATGTATTTTAAATATAAAATAGGATACTCAAAGTTAAAATTAAATTAAGTTTAATAATTAAAATAGTATAGACAATTTACATTTTAATTATTCAAATTTATAAACGTGTTAATTTTACAAAAATTATAAACAATTTTATTAATCACTTTTGGTATTTCTGATATTACATGTATGATGGATTGATCCTAATATCCTAAGGCCCTAAATCACATGGATTAAGTTTTTGTGTGGCAATACATCTACGTAAAATAGATCTACATACACAAAAACATTCAGCATGTGTCAACTATGTGGAAAGTAGACTTTGATTACTAGGTATATGAGAACAATTTTGGAGGACCTTTTAAAGAGGATATTATAATATTATATTTTTATATTATCTGAAAACATTTTTAAACACCAGGTGTGATATATTAGTATCATTGCATATATATTGTATAATAATTATAATACATTTTTAATCTAATATTCTACACTATAAACAAGGGTGTATTGTGGGTGTGCACCCTATACCAGAAGATTTTCGATTTTCAGCTTATACCTAATGTAAAATATCATTTTACTGGTATACGCTCGTAAAATAACTCGAAAATAATTATGTTTTTGATTAAAAATTAGAACTTAAAAAAATCTGACAACTTAACATGTTGATGAGCATGACAGCTATGAAGCTATGCCTAACCCACTAATACAATGTTTACAATTTATTTTGTATATTATACTAGTACAGTGTTGATTCCTTGTGTAACTACAAGATATACAACTAATGCAAAAAGGGTTGGGGTTTTATTTATATTATTATATTTGAATATATATTTAAAATATAAATTATAAGTAGTACCTATGTATGTAGTTGTACTACACTCCAATCAAATATAAGTTGTATGAAAATGAAACTTTATTGACTATAATATAATTTTATAGTAGCATTAGAAGTGATAAACATATTATAACATTTTATAACATATTACCTAACTTTTCGAGTTGAGTTTGAGAAAATATTTTATGTTTAAAATAGGTACATATTTTATTAGTGCGTATACCCATAAATATATTTACCAACATACCACTGACTATAAATGAAAATCTTAAACTTATATAACATAAAATATTATACCTGATATGATCTTATAATCGCTTGTACTGCCAAATGATCGTCAATCATTTTTTCACTAAATGTGCCACCAATAGCTGTTGTATTTTGTACTCCAGGTAATAAACTAGATAATAATACTTCATTTCTTCCTGGTGGAGCCAATGATGGTGGTGCCTGATATGCCGCACCTGGCTGAGCACCCGCATCGCAGTTTTTAAAAAAAGTATCCCAAGACTATAACAAAAGATAATGATTAATAAGTAATAGAAAATACTAAATTTTAAATAAATCTTAACATATTTACTTACAACATTGACACTTTTAGGATCTGCTAACCATGCATTATACATATCCTCGATATATGAAGCTGAAGTGCCATTAAGAAACTGCTCTTGGTTAACATTAGTTGAATACTTGTTCTCTGTAACGGGTAATGATTGAGTAGCTCTTATCAGAGATCTAGATTTCGGTCCAATTAACCATGTTGCAAATTTTTGTCTGCCAACGATTTGTGGCACACAAGGAACTAATTGATTTACAACTGACTGTGCTCGATGCATTATTCCTAAACAAATTGATTAATTAATATTAGTAGATATGAAAATTAAACAACAAATAATTTATGCATAAATATTTCGAATACTCGGTATTTTAAGACTGCCACACAATAGACAATTTTCAAATAAAATTATAAAAAAGTATTCTAAATAGTATGATAAATTATAAAAAATAAGACGTCTTATAAAATTACCAAACACTGAAGAATAAATTCAATAACGATGAGAAATTTTTCTTATTTATCAAAGCAGCTAAATAATTAGTGTACCTAAGTATTATTTAATATAGATACATTGCAGATTGTTGTAATTATTTATTATTTATGAACTAAAAATGGCTATTCTGCATAGGTAATTTGTAGTCAACAATTAATTTTCAAACATAATTCAAAATTAATTAAGAAATGAAAATGAAAATATGAATACATATAGAGGTACCTACTTACTGGTAATTTATACATACTATTCATAATATAATACTTATATACCTACCTAATATATATTATGTAAATGAAAATATGCAAAATACAATATTCATGATTATAATCTGATGTTTCACACTGGGTTTGTACATAACCAAACAGAAAGCCAAATCAGTGTAAAAACTGAGATAATAAGACAATCAATAACAAATACCTAATAGTATATATTGTTCTTAAATTGTATGAATTTCAGTTTAAATTACCTGTATACGTGAGATTTATATGCTTGTTCTATAATTTTATGTAAGACAAATAGCAATTTTATAAATAGAATATTAAACAACATACTTTCTGGTACAAAGCCAAACGTCAATTGAAAGCGGTACAAGGACATTTAGTTTTTCTCATTATAAGACAAAATGTCGTTTAAGGGTAAAATAATTCAATAAATTCTATTGATATTAAATTGCATTTTAATTTATAAACACATATGTGTTACAATAAGTATTGGTTATTTTACAAGTTAGTATTTATTTCTTCACATATACCATTTCAACATAATTTCTAGTTAACTACCTACTTTATAATTGAGTAATTTAAATAACTACTAGTTAGTAGTTTTTCTTTTTTATCAATGTAAGCAAAATTGTTAGATTACAGAAATTAATATTGAGCATTATTTTATATTTGACACTTGTTATTAAGTATTGAATGTTATCATCCAATTATCTAAAAGTATTAAATAATTAACTGTAGAAATAATCAGATAATTATTAATTACTCATTTGAAATCAGAATAAATTAGTAAAATACATTCTTAAGAGTACATACCTATCTTGATACCTACTTCAGAATAATAACACTAATACACTATTATTTACTATATAGGTAATGTAATGGTATAGGTATGGTAGCGTCTATCGATCATATCTATATTTACTTACCCAGTGCAATATGCGTAACGCAATTTATGCACCAGACGTATTAGTTATTTTTTTATAGGTCTACGGATTAATGTAGAAAAATAAAAACAAAGGAGGCACTCTGAGTGTACTAATATACGAATATAGGCACTATAGTCCAAAGTATAATAATATGATATAAAGTGTAAACGCATTGTGTATTAAACATGTAGGTAACATAATTTTATTATACTAATGATTTATTGTAGCACAATATATTATGCAGTGGTAAAATTTTATGCTGATGTTTACAGTCGGTAGGTGAGGTAGTGATTTATATAAGGAAAAAACGGTGTGTTGATTATTGAAGCAGTGGGTCGAATGGGTTGAACAGGGATTTGAACGCGGATCGTCCAACATGATTTATGGAAATGTCACCTTGACCTAGGATAACACGGATAAGTGAGGCGGTGTTAAGTGTTAATCACACGACGTAGGTCCGGATCGCCGAAAAAAAAAAAATGCCTAGTCGATGAGCTGTTGGGGGAGGAAGTTAAGACGTGATCAGTGTGTGACGGACGAGAAAAAATACCTGATAACGGTTAATGAGTATAAACAAAAAAATAACCAACCTAGTTATGAATTATTGCGATTTATGAATTCGATCTGACTTACTTTCTGCGTTCGGACGACGAAAACAGCGCGATCGACGGTGCCGTTAGATATGGTGTCTGGCGACGGTGTGGCCGGATCGCTGATGTATATGCGGCGATGTGGCAAGCGTGTCGTTGACGCGCGAAAAGAAGGAAAATGATTGGAAAAAAAAATCGAAAACCTTTTCGGGCGGACCGTCTCGGCGCGAGCTACATGGAGTTCAGGTGTGATATTGTCTGAATTTTCCTCGAACGGTAGTCACTCCACCATACGACCGGACGAACAGCTGTGTCGTGGACTACTGAGCACTGGATAGTGGGAATAGGTAGGTATCGACACCACGAACTACGCTACTGACCGGCAACGTGACGTGATCATAAATAACAAATAATTACACTGCGCAAAGAAGTCGTGCCTCTGTGTATCATGTATGACGAGGTGACGGCCGCGCAAGTCCTTGGTCCAACCGAAAACGACGTGGAAAATATAATAAAGGTAGTAGAATAGTCGTTGCCCGTTGGTTTAATGAGAGGGAGTAAGAGAGAGTGACAGAGTGGGTGGGTGTGAGAGAGGGAACGAGTGGCGAGTGAGTGACACAAGCGAAAACGGTGTAGTGCTATTATCACGCGCGCGAACGGCTGTATCACGGGGACACGGGCGCGACGACCGACAAGACGGTAAACGTTGTGCACTTCAGCACTGGCCCGCGCGGGTTAGCTTGGTGAGGGTCGCCGGTCGGAGAGACGACGGGACGTCGCAACGAAAATCGATTTATTAAAAAACCTTAAAAGAATAACTGCGCCGTAATGATAACCCGTTATCATTTACGGTACCTCCACAGAATAATATTATATTTATATATTATGAAATCCATAGACTTTCGTTATAAATAGGTCTGTGATGAAATCCCGTCTATTCTGCGATGCCGCCGTCTGCCGGAAGCGGTCAAGTTTATCTAATTATTAATTAATAGTTAACCCATTAATTATCACTTTATATTTAATTGTTTTGTAAATATTCATGAATCACATTATCGCAATATTATGAAAAAACATTACAAACACAGTATTATTACTCAATAGAATATGTTTAGATATTGCTCGGTAATCGCCGATCAGGCCAAAGGTTAAAGAACTACCTATGTGGCTATGTATTAGACTCCGGGAAAAAAACCACACTAGTACACTACCTACTCAATATTTTTCTCATAGGCGGAGCCACAGGGCGTGCAGGGTATGCAGCTGCACGCCCTGATCGCCCCGAAAATCCGCTATAATTTAAAGGTTACATAATACATTTTAAATATTGGATTAACAATATGATTAAATTATTAAAATCTCTTCTCACATAGACAGTAACAAAACACAATTTGTTCAAGAAACTAAAGAATCGGAACTTAGAATAACAGCCTTTTATCCAATGATAGACGTGATGGTTCATAGTATTGATGAACGATTTAGCCAGGACACTATACAAGCTATACATGCGGTTGATAGTTTACTAAATATGGATATATCGCAAACAGACCTATCAAAAACGTTTCAATGTGATAGTGAAAAACTAGAAATAGAAGTAATGCTAATAAAAAATAATTCTACGATTCCTAATAAAGACAGTTTCAGTAATAAAAGTAAAATCCATGAATGGTTAATTTGGCTGAAGTCTAATGACCATTATAAATACTTTAACCAATTTTTTAATGTAATTCAAAAGTTTGTAGTGATCCCAGTAACAAGTTGTACTTGTGAGAGGTCTTTCTCTAAATTGACCCTAGTCAAATCCAAATTAAGATCTACCATGAAGCAAGAAAGATTGAATGCTTTGATGGTATTGACAGTAGAGCAAGAAATGGCAGTCAATGTTGATGCTGATGCTGTTATAGACGATTTTAAAATAGCGGTAGATTTTAAGAGACGAATGTCATTATAATAATTTTGAGTAACGTTTATTTACGTTAATATTATCAATAGGTATGTATGTATTTTTTTTTTATTATTATTAGTTATGACATAAGTAATGTAGTTATAATATTTTTATAACATACTTCAATCTTAATTATTATTAAATATAAAGTGACTATTAAAAATATTTTTGCGATTTTATGAATTAGCTCCCCCTCCCCATTCTACTCCCCTACTAGTGGTGGGCTGATTTAGATTCTGCATAATGCTGAACAACACTTCTGGCTCCGCCTATGATTTTTCTTCTAAAAGGAAAATCTAAGAATCGTAAATATGTTTTTGTTAATACTAACCATGATAACCAAAACGTCTATTTTGCAAAACTGGTTAAAAAAAATAAAATATCTGTACCTACCCAGTCAAAAACATAATATTTATGTTAAAAAAAAATAAATATAGAACCCATTTGTATGTATATATTAATACAAACATAATAATAGCAATAGAAGTCGTTACAATAGGTATAAAATAGTATGATTTTTTTATCGAAGTAACGTAATTAATTCCCCCTCCCCCACTCCGTTCGGCATCGCAAAATAAATAACGCTGAAAAAAAACCCCGGAAAATGAAAGAAGATATTATTACCGTTTATCGTTTATCTATACCTAAGTCCTAAGTGGGCACGTGTTTGATATTGGTGTATGCGGTATGTCTCTATCGAAACTCTCTACCATTAAGACCCTAACTGTTATGCCTAACGAATCGTTCAAATTCGATAGATATAAATATAATATTAAACATTAAACGGTGATAAAAAAAGACTAACTTTTTCCAGTACCTATCTATTTTAAAATACAAATACATGTATCCTTCGTAACGCGGTTTACACAATATTTTTTTTATTGGAGTTAAAAATATCAAATGTAATAACTGATAATAAGCTTCAAATCTATAACACCGAAGAGTGGGGAAACATTTATGAGACTGAAAGTATTTTATAGCCACAGACTTCTATACTACACTAGATAAGGAACTCTTATACAATGTACATTGTTACAAGTGAAGCTCAGCTGTGAACGGCCGCCATTTTCTCGGTTGGCAAAACATTTCATTTATTATACAAAATGTATTAGGAATAATATTTTTTTTAACGGTCAAATAAAATAGTAAATGTAAAATGACTTATATAAAATATTTTTTTTTTTTTGTAAACTTAATGTTTAAAAATAATAAAATACGATATAAAATAAATCATAATATCATCTTATTTGTCATATGAAATACCATACAATTGCCAACCGACCTTGAAGCTTCAATTCATGACCGGAGTTCGCTATCTAGTAATATATAGAAATCTGTGTTTATAGCCTATATTACAGTGGTGTTCAAACTTTGGTTTTCAAAATGTTCACGGCACACGTATCAGTACTGACCTTTTTTTTTACTCTATAAATAATTAGATGTCTGATGAACGAAATTGTTTTGAATTATAATTATTTAATACGTTTTTATTAATTTTATTATTATAATTTTATTCTTGAACGAATAGTTAACATTTTTCAGAAGACCATGGCACACTAAGTGAATGCTCGCGGCACCCAGTTTGAAAACCACTGGCCTATATCTATAGGTATATGTAACAGTTTATGTCTTGACTTTAGAAAAGTTCTAAAAGAATTTACTCAGCCAAGTGTCAACATATAATATGTCATAAATTGAATAAAAGTAACATGATATTTTGTAGATACAAAAGATATATCTTGAAATCAATTGAATTTATACATTAGATACCAGGTACTGCACTTTTGAAGATCATACGTATATGATATACTTATATATGTTAGTTCCTACATACCGTAAAGAAATTTTTCTACGTAAATTAGTTAAATCCTACTCATTAGATATCTCAAAAACTATCATACAATATTTTTAAATA